CTCTTGCGATCGACTTTTGTTTGCCACGCCAGACCAAATAACCCAGTATCTTGCATACTGAGGTCTTTCGGTTTGACATGTTTCCCGTCGTCGAAACGCAGCGACGCGAAAATCAGGCAGAGCCACCACCAAATGAAAATACGTGTGGCTTCGGGCCAGTCTGGATCGCAGACGAGTTCCTCCATACACCCGACTACGAGGATAGGAATAGGGACTGCCTCACGGAGGGTCTCAGCTCTTTTTGTGATCACTTCTTGTTGCAAAGCTAAAATGGAGGGATCATCAATGGAGGGGCACTCAATGACCAACCGTGCGCAAACCCACTTAATGGCCGAGCGAAGGGTAGGGATCACCGTGGGACCGCACTCTTGACCGTCAAGAAAGATCAAGTACTTCACCACCTTGGGGGTCGACAAGGGGAACACCGGGATCTTAACAGAAGAGAGCCACGTTTCCATGCGTTCCCACACCCTCACGTACATCGCCATCGTTCGCGGCGCGCCGGCGGTCAGAACCAGCTGCCGAAGCTTCTCGTTCTCAGCTGGGGACAACCCCTCACCTGTTGAAGGATCCTCCCATAGGCGAGCAAACGATCCAGCTCTCCTGCCAATCTGTTCGAGCCGCGCCGCCCATTTGTGGCGTTCGGCGTTCTCTTGATCCAGCAATGGAGAGCTCGACGAAGGAGGTTCTGGCTGACCTGAAGCCCTGCGAGGTGCTTTGACAGGTTTTTGAAAAAGATCCTGGATTGCAGCTGCTCGCTTCATACGAGCTGTCTCTGGTGAAGACGCCAGTGCTCTCATCGGATCACATTGTCCGAACCCGAGTTGATGAGCTGTCGATTCGAAAAAGCTTCGTTCGACCGACGAGGCGATCGACCAGAACTGCTCCAGTTGAATTGGATCCCTCAAAAGCTCAATTGGCCACCTCTGGTTCCAGGGTGGTCGCCCATTCCGCAACCTTCGAAACGAACTCTGCGGGCGCTCCCACCTCCATGGAGGCCACGAGGGCCAAGTTTCCGAACGGGCTCTGAGCAATCGCCTGAGCAAATGCATCAGTGAACACTGGAAACGAAAGGATCTTTCTGGCCCATCTCTCTGATCGCAACTCGGCAAACAAAGTTTAACGATCGAACATGTCATGAAAATGAATGAAACACTTCATAGATCTCTGTAAACACATGCTGCGTGTCGATCGACTGCAAACGACATCAAATCAAGTGAAAAACCGACCGGCTAGAAAAAGGATCCCTGCTCAATGGACCAAAGTGGACTAAACCTATTTGAACTAGAGCTCAGTCGCAACACTTTGATCGACCGAGCTGGGATCCCGCAGCGGGCTGGGTGCATTTACCTGCAGTCGGCTGAAACGTCGCCGTTCGCTCTTGTTGAGAGAGTTGATCCGATCGAAACGCTCGAAATGAATGGCCAAGTCGGGGTGACCGCACCCCTCAAGCAAAACCTGAACAAGCCTCAAGACCTTGAAGAGAAACAGCATCATGCCTAGGGCTAGAGCTGACTCAACAAGACCCAGAACTCGCTGCAGGCAATGCACACTTTGGCCAACGAGCGTCGTCAGTTGGTATTGAATGAATTGATCAATTAGGCATCCAAAAAGGAAAAAGAGATCACACCTCCACGTCGTTAGGACCACATCCAGGCCCATACGAACGCGGGGCGGCGGTGGTGATTCTCACGGACGGATCTCCACACGCCTCCTCAAGAGATGCGTACTCCTCAACCGATAGGGTCGTCGTGGAGCGCAGCGGATCATAATGACCTGCCATCGCCCGTTCGACTCCACTGACAAAAGCCTGCGGGGTGACCGCTGCCTCGGCAATTCGCTCATTGTTCCGAGCGTCGAGGGAACGCCTCATCACATGAACTGCACCCCCTGACACGGCACTCGCTCCAGGAGCTTCCCCCGGTTGTGTGATTGACACATGGGCATCTTGCAAACCTGAGATCTGGTTGGCGGCCCCTGCCGATCCTACCAAGGCGCGGACACTGCCTGCCTCTTTGGAGACAGGCTGGGCAGATGGCCCGCCCGTCACTGGCGGCAAGATCATAGTGGCCCTCTCCAGATCTGGATCATGGAATTGAAGCGCCAATGCATCAACCGGGACCATGACCTTTTCCTGCTTGAACAAGGGTGACTCACAGATCAAGTGCAGGTTCTGCAAGTGCGACTCAACAGCGATCGCTCCCACCCTCGGCCCGCAGTCAGCCAAGGTATTGGCCTGCATTGCAGCTGTCCAATGTGCATGGATCCCCGCCAGCTGTGAGAGCTGCATGATCTGATCCGGCCCCTCGATGCGAGCATAGCGGCGACGACACCACTCAGCATTCTTCACCAGAGTAGGGCCAGACACCCTTGAGACCATGAGCCAGCTTGCGGGAGCCGAGATTGTGGAGCACGTCAGATCGAGCTTGTCCCCCGCCGAGACGAATCGCATTTCCAGGCGATCTGCGTCCCAGCCGAAAGCGTCAGCAGATGCCACTGCCACCATGCGGATTTCGAAGTGGCATAGTGGGAAATCCAAGGCGATGACGATCCCTCCGTCCGAGCATGCGTAAAGCCTGCCCCCGACCTCGAACGAGATCGCCACCACTCTCCAGCCCTGGAAAACTGTGATCACCACCGACGGGACACATAGAAGATCCGCCAAACCCATGACCAGGGCATCATTGATGTAGTTCAATTGCACCGACATGTCTTTGTCGGAGCGATAGCCCCTGAGCTCCAGATGGAGCAGGAGGGATCCCTCCACCTTCAGCTTCAGATCAAGCCAGGTAGCTGAATCATCCCTCATGACAGGCCATCTGAACGGTTGGAACGCCTGGTGAGTGAGCACTCGTCCAGTTTCCTTGTCCCACCGAGCTGCTGGCACGGAGCTATATGAAGACATTGAGCCGCAGATCACGAGCTTCTGGCCATCCAACGTCCGGACATAGAACATGTTGAAATGATATCCTGTGTTGGGCGATCGCACCAAGGCTTTTGTCGGCATGAATGTTGATGCCTGCCTGGGCATTGACCAAAATCTCATCCAGGAGCCAACCTTGGTATGGACTTTGGAGGCGTTGATCACGGCTGTCTAGCACCAACACCGATCGTTCACCTTCACCAGATCCGATCTGCCTCAAGTAGGGCGGGAGCTGAAAATTCAAAGGGCTTCGAAGCGGCGGAGCTTGTCCCCACCTCACACGATCTGTGCCCTTTCGTGCTGCCCGCTCTTGCTGTCGTCGGAGCCGTCGACCAGCGGAAGTCTCATTGACCCCCTCGAGCAAATTCCTCGCTGCTTGAGTGGCAGGATCAACTGCACTCGCTGCAGGAGGCACAGGCGCCGAACTGGCATTGGGAACTGGAGGGGGTGGAGGCACTTGACCACCTTCTTGTTCAGGGAGCTCCCACGGATCATTCGGCTTACCTCCAGGTTGAGAGCCACATGCTGCTGACCCCGCCTCCGGTATGACTGGCATACCCTCAGGAGTCAACTCTGTGATCACAGGTCCAGGTGTGACCTTAGTCCACGAAGAAGTTGAACCCGTGGTGGATCCCACCATGCTTGCGCTTTCATCAGGCATGACAGCTTCAGATGCCCTCAGGTGGGCAATGGCGAGCTGCCTCTGCATGGCTCGGGGAACTGCCGCAGGAGGAGCCTTTCGAGGAGCAGCCTTTGGGGGAGCACCCTGAGAAGTCGACATGGCGCCACAGTGGATCCCAGGCCCTGACACAACCTGAACAGGACACCAACTAAAAATGATGGGAACCACTGGTGCCTGTTGACTTGAGTCAAAATGGCCACCAGGGATAACCAATATGTGAACACAGTGGACTAAACCTTTCCTAGTTACACACCTGTTCCAGACCTACCTTGCCAACAACAGGTGCACCAGAAGGAACAAAGAGAAAGAACAAAAAACCTGCAAATGGTTCGTTTCCCCAAACTATTTGCTGAAGGAACCGGACGGCCGATTCAGAATCGAAGAGGATTCTCTGACGGGAAACATCAAAGAATAATCCCCCGCCCAAACCCAAACAACAAAGGCTGTCAAACCGTCGTGCGGCCGCTTCAACCCTTTGTCTTCAGGCCAGCGTCGTGGAGCACTTCGCCCACTTGACAGATGTTGGGCGGCAGCAGGGAGGAGGAGTCCCTTGGACTGACGTCAGGGAGGAGGACTCAGGGGACCATGAGTCCCTTGGACTGACCCAGTCTCAGACTGAACACAGCATACGGCGTATACGGGATGCTGTGGGTGAAATGAAAAAGACATCCCTGCGAAGAGGCAAAACAGACCGGCTTGAACAACATGGATTGCCGGTCCTGGTCAACGAATTCCATGGATTTCGGGGGTTTTGGCTTTTGACCTAGGGTCAGCCAGCCGTGTGTCGTGGAAGGGCTCTGCTGAATCGACCAGGAAGATCTAGATCTATAGTCTACCATGGGAAGATGTGCGAAGTGTGGAGACTCTGTTTATGGGTTGTCTCGGTTGTCATCTCTTTCCTTCAAAAGCACCTGGCGGTGCTTTGGACAACAGGATTTGGCGTCGTTCAAAGAGTTCTTCACTCCAAGAAACTCCAGGCTACTCCCGGCTACAGTACTACACAGGACATACTAGTCAAACTCCAAAATGGTGGTGGTGTTGAATGGTGTTGATCCGGAAATCAAATTCAGTGCCTGATAATGCATCTCCCAGTTATCCCAACGTGAGTCAGCTGTTAAACACCAACGGCTCAATCACGAGAGAATCCTCAGTTTGTGTGACTTCCCGCCCTGCCTTTGGTGTTTACCATCCACTAGCAGAAATCGCATTGCCATGCTTTGTGAGTCGCAATGCACATCCCTCCGCAATGCACGTCCCTCAAACTAAGCTGACCAGGCAATCCACATATGTTTTTTTTCCGGGACACTGTTCACGTTCCTTCACCTAATAGGCTTTACTCCGAAAAAAAGAAACTAAACACAAATGACAATAGCCACAGGCTTGGGTGGGCTTTACCTAAGCTTCCCAGCTTTTCGAGCCCCCCAATGTCAGAGTCTGAACTCCCACGTCCAGTGGCCAATCAGAGAAGCTTTGCCAGCATAGTTCACCATCACCCACCAGCTCCTCACGTGCCAAGTGAAGAGAGTTGAAGAAGCGCAGCAAAAGGTGGCAGCGTTTTTTTCATCAGTGGCCCCTTGCAAGGCATTGTAGTCGCTTCGTGCAAGTTGCGGAGTGACATCCAACCACAAAATCTCCGGTTCCGGAGGACCCCAGCTCATGCCGGCCACCTCACCATCTTTGAAGACTATTGATCCGATCCAGCCAAAGACCATCAGAGAAAAATGGGGGTTCGGCTTCAGGGGTCCGTGTTTGGGGCGGCCATGTTCGGAGGAACTCACCAGCGGCCTGTTCGGGGCTTCCGACGCTGAACGACTCCATGCTAGGCAGCATCATGTGACCAGGTGACCAGGTGGTGTCATGAAATGGAAAGGTCCGCGGTCAACACCTGACCGCAACGTAGCTTACCACCATGCAATGGATTCTTTGCTTGCTTCAAGCCGGAGTACTCGAAAACGGAAAACTGGATGCGCCGGGCGCCCACTATTGGCCGTTATCTGCTTGGATTGATGAGCGGACATACGGTCACATCTCCTGCACCAGCTCGTGCTTTTCCGCAGTAATGGATTGCACCACAACCTGGCGGTGCAATCCATGCGATTTCTACCATCTGTGAAGCACCAATCTGTTCGGACAATCTAAATTCGCTCAGGTCCCAATCCCAGTGTTCCACCCAAATGAATCTCACGCAGACACCCTCAGTGGTGCTGATTCACCAGCAACATCAACTGAACCCGGGTCCACCCGCTGGTATCACGTTGTACCACCACCATCTTCGCCGCTTCAAGGCGGCCTCGCGGCCTCGCTTTCGCCGAGCCACCAAGCGATCGGGGCCGCGCCAGCGCTCCAGCAGCTGCTGGCTCAGAGGCACTGCAAAGTGGGAGGACCACATGTCCTCAGTGGACGGCGGTCGGAATCGCCGGTCCGGGGGAAGGTCGGGCGGATGCCGATGGCCGTTCCCGCCGTCCGGGAGGGTGGATCCTCAAAGGAACAAAGACACTGCAGCTTAGCCCAGGCGTGATGATTTGGAATGTGTACTATAGCGAGGGTGTGAGCATTTCAACACGTGTCAATGTCAATAGGGCTCTTCTCCCCTTTGATAGGCTATAGAGACATTCCATCCTGCAACAACCACTCCAAGCGACAAAAGAATGAAAACAAATAATAGTCACGAGTCACTACACTCAGAGAAAGCCAACCTTGTCTTGGTGAATGGCCTTGGCCTCTTAACTACAAACTCCTCGACAAACATGGAGCTGTTCCATACTTCTTTCTTTGAGGGAGGGACCTAAAACATGACCCCGCTTTGACTCCTAAAACATCAGACATCTACTCAAAAGTGGGGAGTCAATCCCGGCTCTCGCTGTCGTTTTTTTCGCTGTCCCTGAGCTCCAGTCCATCGCAAAGAGGACGTTGCGCCCCACGGTTCGCTCCGCAGTGTCACTGAGAACTTGCTTCCCATAGTCCTGAAGCAAACAAAAGAGTCGTGGCTCCACTGTGTAAGGATTTTGATGGGTGAGTGGATGGATGCCACAGTATCTACTACCGTACTTAGAAGAACAGCAGTGGACCCTCCGCAAATGGCAAAAAGAACTGGTTTGTACGGTGTTTGCTGCCCATTGCAAGTGGTGCTGAGTGTCTTTCATCGCGATTGGTCAGTTCACGCAGAGCTTGATGACCTTTGAATTTGATAGAACTGTAGCAGATTCACCCAACTGGCCTCTAAAGGGCATCGCTACTAGGAACAAGGGCATCGCTACTACAGTAGTAGCTTCTTGTTACTAGTAGGAATGCACTTCGCTACGTGCGTGGCTTCTTGCTACGTGCGTAGCGATGCACAGTTAGCTGACTTGACCTGTTCCCCGCTCTTTCTGTGGGGCCTTCGGTTCACCGAGTTGGACGTCTGCTTTTTTTTGCGCGTGCCATCTGGCCTCGATGAGCTCCTGCGGCTCAATGGCTGTGAAGTCGATGTCCTGCAGACTCGGAAGTGCATTGGAAGTGCAGCCGGTGAGCAATGGAGGCTGAGATTCAAAAGTTTGGGAAGTCTACCGATATATCAATAGATATAATACAATATAACACAATACAATATTATATTGCATTATCTTATATTGTACTATACTATATGATATTGTATTATATTATGTATATATATACAATTAATGCGTGATACAGTAACGCATTGACTGTCTGGGTGGAAAAAGAAAAAGAAATTCAACACTCCCGAACTTCGTCGTTCGAACTCTGGTCGTCACCCAAAACGCGAGCGAAGTCACGGGACTCGCCCCGTGACCGCGGCGTCGCCACCGGGACTCGCCGCGATCGGGACTCGCGCGTCAGCTCAATGGTCAACAGGTCAACTCAATGCGAAAAGCGTCGAATTCGTCGTTCTTTTCAGAGATCTCGTATTTACGTGTTTAAAAAATGGTACAGCTTGCGGTTTGTTTCACCTCTGAGAGCTTGAAGTCCAAAAAGAAAGAAGCTGATGTTCATTGATTGTCCAAAGGGTCCTTCTTAGAGTGGATCCTGGCACCCTAAACCCTAAATCCTGCAGCTGGGTTAGGCATCCTCCGATTCCTCAACCTTTGGAACCCCAAAAACCTCTTCAGCTCCACACCGGCTCTTTCGGCTCCACACCGCCCACATCCGCTCCGTCGTCCAAGTGATGGGTGTACTGGCCAAGCGATGCTTCCTGTGGAGCGAGACGCTGGCAACCATTTCTGGCAAGACTGGGACTGGCGTCTCTTTCCTAAACACTCCATGGGACTGGCATATTTTGCCCATATTTACTATGTATGTACATTGAGCAATTAGTCGTGTCTGGGTTTGGATGTGATTTTCGGGTGTTCCCCTGGTGCAAATCGGGACGTCTCATCACCCGGCGGCTCTCGGGTTCAGTTGCGACACGTGTCAAAGAACATTCCGGGTTTCCTCACCCAATGGATTCACAACTGTCGCTGAGCCGCAAAAAACTTTGCTGGATGTTTGCTACACGATTCCACTGGGGATGAGATATTTGACCTCCCCCGGGAACCAACCACACTGTCCGTCTCACGACGAGAGAAACTCTCCCAGAGAAGGCCGCCTGTTTCGTCCACTGCCGGCCCCCGAGTGCGGCATGGTGCCGATCCAGGATGAGAGGTCATGAGTAGAGTAGAGGTCAACAGCAGTGGGTGGTTGGGTCACTTGCAACAAGCGTGGAGGTGCACCCTTTTTCGGACGACTTGGGGCTGCAATGGCAGACGATCCCCGCGTGCTACACGCGGGTGGTCTGGGCTCCACTTGCTCGGGTCGGCCCCAGTTTTTGTGGGAGTCAGTGGAGGTTTGGGAGGTCACCCAGGATCAAAGTGCACCCAAAGCCACAGAACAGGAAGGAAACCAACAACTCTATCAGTATCTCATGGCCTTCCAAAACAAATTGGAAATATATGGAAATATGATAATGTCTAGCTGAATAATTAATCGTATCCCTCCTAACCTCTGCCTGGTGATCTCATGGGACACATTTTCAGAGGAGCTTGCCAAATTGGCAGCACTGGGTTCTTCCCCAATAAGCAAAGCGTTTTGCTCAGGAATCTCAACTAAAGCCCCCCTGAATGATTATGCATAACCCTTCTTTGATACTGAGATTCCGAGAAATATCTCTAGATATCCCTATAGGTATCCCTTTCCAGACTCCGATCCAATCCTTCACTCTCCAGGCGACACCACTTGGAAGGTCTCATGGTTCGTCAGCCAGCCTTCCTGTCATCATCGGCCGGTCCAGAGTCCGTGGGACCGTGAGACTTTGGGGTGTAGAGAGCTCTGAAAGGGGGTGAGCTAGCGGAGCCCCAATCGACCAGATCGAGCCGAGCTTGGAAAAAGACAGCTGGACTGGAGCAGTCAGAAGTGCCCAGTCATGGAATCTCATATGTGGTACTTTGCGTCCATGACTCTGAATGGATGCTGCAGAACGAGGCCACTGCAGGTTGACTCGACCCGCTGACCCGGTTCCGACCCCGTGGCGGGTCAAGCCCGAAAACGGAAAACCATAACAAACGCCAGCCAGGGCCCAGTGTCATGGGGAATGCCGGTTCCCAACACATGGAATGCACCCTGCTGAGGAAAAGTCGATTCCTTGTTCAACAAAGGGTACTTAGTATTTGTCTATGACATGGCATGTGTTTTCTTGAGCCACTGCTCTGAAGCAGGTTGTAATCCTGCTATCCTGCTTAGTTCAGTCAATAAGCCTTGCAAGAACCTCGAGAACTTTCAATCAAAGACCAAATAAGAATTGAGTTTACTTTCAAAACATCTAGTAAAACCTGTGCCATCTACTTTCTTTCTGTTAAACCAATCGATCCTTCTGTTCTCTGGTCTTTGGCGAACCCCACAATCACACGCGGCCGCGCCCCGTAGAGAAAGGAAGCACAGCGGTCGCCCGGTAGGCGACCTTGAGGGCCCAAACCTGCGGTGCCAACAGCGCCCGGACAGCGGAACGCCACGGACGTCGCTCCAGTTCGAAGGAATGGGACTGGTGCCACGGACGTCGCTCAGCAAAGAAAGAGAATGAGGACGGCAGGAGATGGAGGACAAGGAGAAGGACAACATCAAACACAAAAAGAACTGAGAACAGCAGCGACGAGAACGAAAGAGCCGTAGTAAACGTAGCATATGTGAAAGCAATCTGGAAAAACAATTGGGCGACAGCACTTAGCACTTGTTGCATGTTTCCTCAAGGTTTTGCTGCTCCAAAGGGGTCTTCCTGATCATGAAGCATGAATATCACCAGAAAAATGTCAGCTCCCAGCCAAACACCTAATTGGGTGTTGTGCAAAAAGAGACTCTCAACAACCGAAGTGACAAGAATCTTAGAGATTGTAGAACCAAGCAGCGAAGGAGGAACCCTTCCTTTTGGGAAGATCCTCGCATTCTGGAAATGCACAGAATCCAGGGATAATCCGTTCTGTCTTGCTTCGTTCACTCACCTGCCTGCACTAGCCTACCCTACTCGACTAAGCCTAAGCTTCAATTGAACAGTTGTTGGACAGTTCCCTTGCGCTTCCAAGCTTCTAAAGATTGGCAAACATTGTGTCCTCTTCCCACGCTTCCTACTTGGTCTTCACTCAAGACACAAAGAAAGAAAAGGACAAAACGGAATCCGAAACTGCGCAGACTCCCCTCTAGTTGGTGCTGGGTACTAGGAGGGCAAACATCCTGACAAGTCTGACAGAAATTGTCTCAAATCCCAACCATTTTGGAGAAGTTGACCAATTTCTGCTTTTTCTTCATTTCGTACCACGAACACTGCACCGGGTGGAGAAAAACACTGCACCTGTGCGTGTCAGAGTTCGGAGCCGTCGTCGATCTTCACAGGGCAGCAGCTCAGGTGTGAACCATCCCGGTTGGTCGCCTTCCTCGCGACAGGCGAGCGGCCGAAGAAGAACGACCAAGGTGGGCGTGGTAGCAGAAGAACGACCTACGTCCAAGAAATGCTCATTGCGCTTGGACAGGTAGGCTGGATTGCTTCTGGTAGGCTGGTAGCCGCAAAGAATGTCTTCGTGCACTTACGGTTGCTACAGTGCAGCGTGCTCAGTGTAGCGGCACGTGAAACATAAGAGGCCCTCCATAGCAGGCATAATGAAGGATTTGCGCGCACACAAATACGAGAAAAAGAGACATGGAGATACCTCGGAAGAGAAAGACAGCAAGGAAATGATGAAGAGGAGGACAGGGTGGTCTACCACATACTCGGTCTTGCATGGTTTTACGATGTACGTTTCGATTCACAAAGTTATTCTGTTTCTTGCGATACGAACGAAAAAACATGTTTAGGGGCATGCCGTGTTCGTTCGAGGGCGTCACTTGTTTAGCGTCTCACCCGACCCGACGGGCGTCTCGCTCCTGAAGAGGTACGAGCACTTTCCGGTACGTCTCCTTGGTCAGTGAAGCTATCCCAGACAGGTTCCGTAAAAAACATAACACAAATAGGAATGGAACATTGGCACGTCAAAAACCCAACATTGGCCACTGGTGGGTCCCCTCACTGAGACACAGTGACTGCTCAGGGCTTCAAGTCAAGAATGGTCGAATCTCTTTTTGTTTTTTGGACAGGAAACCCTGAAAGGGAAGGGAGATTGTCAAGCATTCGCAACCTGGAAAATCTTGGAGGTCTACGTCCGCTGGAAAACACAAAGATGCACCCCAACCGCCAAGTTAAGACCTCTGCCTTTCTTCCCTACTAGTTCTCCGACTGCAGCTTCCAAATACTCCCAAATCGTGGCAGAAATAATCCTCACTCCGCTCAAGTCACGTTTCTCCCACTTTCCCAATCCTTGCTACTAGTAGCTTCTTGTTACTAGCAGCTACGGCCTCAAACCTAGTAGCTTCTTGTTACTAGCATTCCTCAGATCGTGGACGCTCTTGCGTAGCCACCTTGCACGTCGGTCGAACGCTCTCCTGCGCGGCCGCTGAAAGCTGCGACAAGGTCTGGTGCCGCCAATGAAGTGCCACAGGCCTTTGCAGAAAACCTCAAAGGCATCCAGGCACATGCAAGCGCCCAACATCAAGCCAAGAAATCTCAAGTTTTTGCGAAAGGTCATCCTTCCCCATCCTCAAGAATGCCACCCTCTCGACTAAGAGGGATGGTGAACACTCACCAATGTTTGGAGAGCGGGACGGCATGGGGGCTGTGCTGTTGTTGTGGTGTCGGCAGCTTGCATCAGGTTCACATTTACACAAACAAGTAGTTCATACCATATTTTTCCACAGATTGCAGTTGCAAAGGCAAGCAGCAAAGGTCGGATGACAGACTTATCAGAACTGCAAAGATCAAGTCACGACACACATTCATGACACCAACATGAAGCTGAAGCAATCAGAACAGCAACGCGCTATACGTGCCAACTATTTTTCAAGATTCTTTATTGTCGGTCGCCGTTCTACATGCACATGCCTCACTCGCTTCTGGCTTGGAGGTGCGCTGAAAGGCCATTGAGGAGAAACTGCCTCAAGTAGGCCAAGTCCTTCTTCTGGTCGATGTGGGCACGGCAAATTGTTCTTCAAAGAGCAGCATCGATCCAAGATGCTAGCCATCAATACGTTTGTACATTGGTGCACAATGTCCTTGCTGTTTTTGACATAGGATTGTGGCCGGTAAAGAGCCAAATGAACAACGACAGGCTTCAAGAGCGGATGGCCAAAGAATAGGGCGAAAGGCTCGTTTGCGTTGCATTCCAGTGGGTAGTCGAGAATTTGCAAGGCCAGCCCCCATGACGTGTTTGCTTTTGATGAGAAGTCACAAAGGTTGGGGGGGTTGTGTCAGCCTCTAGCTAGATCCTATGCACTGTATCAGTGGATACGCCTACAACAACCAATACCAAAACGAACCTTTGCCGCCTGTTGCAGTCAAAGGATAGACAGCCCAAACGAGGTTCATTTTCACGGGTGCTCACTCACGCTCTTATGGCTGGCTTTGGGTGGATCCACGACAGCTCATGAAGGTCCAGGTTGGTCAGAAAATATCCATCCACCATCATCCACCCTGATTTTGTGATGATTACATTCTCAGAAAAGGAAAGACCACCACCAGAGTTTCCAAGAAAACCCAAACACAAACTAAAAGCCCTCCAATAACAAATGGCCAGAGGCCAGAAGCACAAAGCCCAAACGTGACCGGCACGTTCTTCCCTTTTCGGCCCCAGCGGCGATGCTGGTTGAGGTGCGTCAGACGACCACGGCCGCGGCCCCCACCCAGGCGACGTTCGAAGGTCCTCACCGGACCTTGGCGGAACCCGTGCCGGGCGAACGAGGCGTCCGAACCCAGAAAAAGATTGACCCAAATGCCAATGGACTGATTGTGCTTGTGTCTTATAGTGCTTCAGATTCTATCATATTCTATCTTCCGGTGATGACACCATCCACTTTCTGTTTGTTGAAACAGCAGCGGCTGTCATGCCCCAGTTGGTCTTGGAGAATGGTTTTTCTTTCTGAGCCGTACCATCCACTTCCATACTTGGTTTTGTGTCTTTTGTCAAAAGAGCCGGTTTGATCGGCACGGTGCACCGAAACTCAAGAAGTGTTAACAAAGGCCCGCCACCCCGCAATACGCCAAGCCCTTCACCACTTCCTGTGTGACTTGACCATGGCACGTGCAAAGACCCGGGAGATATATTCCTCCGGTGTATCGGACATGAGGATCAGCTCACAAAGCATCTGTGCCCACATGACCTGGCGCACCGAAAAAAAATGAGACCCTGAAGCAGCGATTTTGGCTTGGAGATCTTGGCAAAAAATCCACCCGCAAAGGCGCCCTGCGTGATCTCCAAGCATGCATTATACAATTGGATGTGTTCGCAGTAGCTATAAGCTTTAGCTTGGGGAGCTTTTTCCGGTACATGTCCTCAGCTTTTGACGACAAATAACGATATGTTTGACCCCCAACATAGCGCAGCATAGACTCTGATGATGCAAATTTGGCATGTGGGGTGATATTGCACTACTAGCATCATGTGTATTGGCTTCTGGGCCCTTCCCTTCAAATGACTTTAAGAAAGAAGAAGAAGAAGCAGAAGAGGAAGAGGAAGAGGAAGAAGACAGAAGCTGACCTCTTCATGTAGTGAATACAAGTGGATGGAAGGGGCTGCATTCCATCGGTGCGGGCAGACTTCCCCGCTTTTGCGCGGGGCGTGTATCCTTTAGCTGAACTCACAAAATTCTAAAGTTCCAAAGGCTTTGGTCGATGTGTTCCTTCACAACACCCCAAAAAGTCTGAAACGATGCTCTTGCCGAGTCGCCAAGTGTTACCCCATGATCAAAGCGGGACCCGGAGGAACCAAACCGAAGCCCAGCTGCGGAGCTTCGCCCAGACGCAGAAGAAAACCGCCCAGTTCCTGCGCCTGTTGTGGGTTCATGTCGAAGAAGTGCACACTTTTGGGCTTCAGGACCAGCCTCACTTGCTCAGACCCTGCGTCGGACGGACGATGTCTGTCCCACACGATGTCGGCGGTCCAGACCGCGTCGGACCGACTGAGTCCGTCAAGGACCGTACCAACGAGTTCTAGCTCGTGCGAAAACGTCTTGCAAAGACTCTTGCAAGGACTTGCCGACTTCTTGCAAAGACTCCTCAATTACAAAAGTTCCTGTTTGGGGGTACACTCCAAAAAGACTCCGCCTCACGGAACGTGCACGTTCGTAAAGGAAAGGAATCTTCCGTTCGGGGCCATGCCATCCACGGTCCGGCCTAGACCGCACCGTCGACGTCGCTGGACGAAGACCCGGATTATATAGGCGAGAAAATGATTCATGTGTGGCAAAGTCCATACAAAGCAAGCTAGGATTGCAGCCAAAGAGTTCTGAGGGCTAGTATATCTCCATAGCACCGCATTCTGGAACCTTGATAGGCCAAAAGCGTGTAGACGGTTGGAGAGGGAGAGATATACCATTGGCTGTGGCTTAAAAAACATGCCACAAGCATGCAGGCTTTGCTCTACCATTTTCTCATTCGTTTCCTCTTAAAACCGTGGCTCAAAGCACCCGTGGCTTCACGGCCGCCATAAGGACCCTTCCCTTCTACATCCAGCACCCTTCTCTTCGAAGATCCAGTGGTTGCCTGGTGTGACACACCAGAAGCTCCGCCCATGGACCCGCCACAGGAAGCGCTCCGCGCTCGGATTCACCGCAGCTGAGCCACAGGAACTGCAGAGCCACGAAAGAGCCGACCACGCTGACGAAACGGTCCTCGGTCACTGAGCGAACGGCTGAGCAGGCGAACGTGCCGAAGGGCTGGGCTGGGCTGCCGAGCGGCTGGGCTGCCGTTTGAACCGCCCAAGATGATCATCAAAAAGCTCTACACAGAAGGATAACAGGATTGGCCCTGCCCATTTCATAGTGGGAATTCACAGAATCCTCAAGACCTTCCACTTGCAGGGTCCATGATTTTAGACGAAAATGAATCGGACCCGACTCGCTCGCATGGGACAATGCACCCCAGTCCAAAGCACGCAAAGGATGCCATTCTCATCTTAGAAGTCTTAGCAGGTCCAGGATCCAACAGGACTCAAGGCTACAAGCTAGGGGTTGGGGAGCAAAGCAACATATATGAAATGCGAGAGCTAAACGAAGAACAATGTCACTAAAAGTGCTGAACTCAAAAAGGAAATCAACAAATACAAAGTTACCATGCTAAATGAGAATGCTTCACCTAAGAATCCACTGAGAGGTACTTTGCTCGTACCAGGCTCAGCATGCTGTGCAGCGTTTCCCCATAGGGATCGTTCGAGCCTGGAGCAAAGAGTCAAGTCAGAAAAGCACACCAGTCGTGGTCTGTTGACGCCGACCAGTGGGAAGGATTTATGTGTATCTTGTATTTATATATTATATATAGTATATATATACAGTATACAGTATGTTCAAAAAAATAATGTCTGAATATGTCTATTTATTATATATGATTTGTATATGTGTATTGAAAATTATTGAAACCACACCTTCCCTCGCCACAAGTGGTGTTTTACAAACATGGAAGCCGGGCTGTCCGTTCCTTTCAGACTTCCAACGAAGACTGGAGTCTAACCCACAACCCATGGTTTCTGAAAGGCTCCTTCTTCCAAAACAGGATCCCACCGGTATGTCTTGGTGATTGGAGTCTTGGTGGCGGTGCCTCGCCCACAGCTAGACTGTGGCGGTCGCAGTTCTCCCTTGGCAAAGCCTAAGGCCTAGGAGTGAGAGCATGTGCCCCAACAAGCTGTGTGTGCAAATTACTGACTACGCCTGGGTCAAACGGATACCGACTCATGCATAAAACTGCTGCAAAGGGTGGATGGCACTAATAGAACATTCGACCCATTGAATAGTATAGATCCTATCTTCAACTGCTGAACTTGATTCATGCAGTGACATGGTTTGAAACATGCGTTCTGATACCTTTGATTTTTGCAACATGTGTCAGTTGCTTGTCAAAGCGGAAGTAGAGAAACTGAAGGAATCACCTCCCATCACTTCACGGTTAACAGCTTGTATACAGCATCATACAGCAACCGCTCAGTCAGTGGATTGCTTGGTCTTGGTTGATTTATGTTGATGTCCTCCCTTGTTCCTTGTTGGGAACTGTCACACTCACCTCACCCTCGCCTAGGTAGCAATTGGACCATCCTTTAAAGGTCGTTGACTCCGTCTTGCCATTGCCATACCTCGGAAGTGTGCCAACGGTCGTTTGGTCATCACTGGGCTGCAAGTGAATCACGGCTTTCGACTCACTGAAGCACTGAAGCTACCTTCTGATGTCGATTGCTTTCAACACTGCAGCCTTGCTGAAAGAGTGGCTGCACTGTCTGCGTTCCGTCCCACTGACACTTTGAGATCCCAGGTCACCTCCCTCCAACCTTCGTGAACCGTCTGGCAAGACCTCTGTCTACCTATCTCTGTCTATCCACTCCAAGGAGCCCCAGCGTGCGGAAGGGCCGGCGCGGCCGTGCGGACGCGGCCGGAGGAAGCGCGCGGAAGCGTGCCCCGCGCGCCGCTCCGGCGCCCGGGAAGCGACCTGGGCGGAAAAGAGTGCGACACCAGGTGGGAGAACTCTACCGGGAAACCCCACGTTGGTCATCCATGGTCCAACATAGGTGTGCGGCGGATTGGATCTGGTATATTCTTGTATCATCTGGTATCATCTTGTATCCGTAGAAGGTTTAGGTCTGTTTCAGTGAGCTGTCAAGACCTTTGGGGGACGAAAACTTCTCAATTGGAAGGGATCGAATGGGAGAGCACTGCCTCGCCAGGCCTTGAAGACCAGGCCCTTGGAGAAACACTCAGTGATTCAAGAGTCGAATCATCGTCCTCGGACCCTCCACGCGTCCCTTTTCGCCGGTCGAGCACGGTGCCTCTTTGGGCTCGGTTGTGTGGCGACGGTGCCGTCGGCGGTGCGACCGCCGCGCCACATCTGCCAGCACTTAAAGCCAGTGCAGGACGGCTGCTGCCGCAGCCAGCCCGCCGAGGTTGCTCCTTGGATGTGCCAGAGTGGGATCAGGGGGCTTGACTGAGAGTCGTTCGATCCATAAGGGCGGACCAGCAACTTAGGATGATTCCCGAAGCCAAGGGAAAGGTTGTCTTATTGTGCTTTGCTAATCTTTGTTCTATATAAATTGAACGTTGCGCACGGCACAACAAAGAAACAGCACTGGTTGGTTCCAGTAGAATCTCCAAAAAGGGGCGGGGCGGAGCTTGGGGCATTGTAACCGGTTTTCATGGGTGATTTGCAGGGAGGCTACTAGGGGCTCCTGGCCTTACTGCTAGGAACAAGGACGCTACGAACTACGAACGGAGGAAAGGGCATCGCTAGGATCGATCGGACGCTACTAGTAGCTCCTGGCCGCTTGTGTGATAAGACTTTCGGTCTGCTGGCCCAGTAAGTCCAAGCCCTCCGAGTCCAGCTCTTTTTGCCGTGGCTCAGCAAGACGTAGAGCACAGCAGTGCGATACATCCCTGGATCCAACTTGGGTTCATTTGGGTCTCTGTTGGCAAATTCAACGGTCGAGCTTAGCGAGAGCCCAGTGACCGGCCAAGTTGGGAAAGGAAAGATGGATACTCTATCAAGAACAAATCTGGTGGTAGACTGTCTCAAGATCTGGTCATAGACCCATAGCATAATTTCGTCGGGACGCCAGGCCATCGCAGATCAGGTGCGCAGACCGTCGATCCGAATCCGACTCCTCGAACCGTCGGAGGAGTCGAAACATGATCCTCTGAACGATCGATGCTGGAGGGGTTCCTCCGGTTGGATCTGTCTTCCACTGCAGACCTTTGTATTGGCTTGGACTTCAAGACCTTGCGAAACTCATTCTGTTTGGTGCTCCAAGACTTTGCTAATCTAGCTTCGAAATGCTCGTTCAACAAGGTGCAAACACCTCACTTCGCCTAACATGCTAGCAAGTGAATTCGACCTCACTGGCGACCTTCATCCCAGTGCTATGCCTTGCCGCAGGAGCTGCACAGCCTCTACCGCGAAGGTGGAGAAAGTGGTGAAGCCTCCACAACAAGCATGGCAGCTTCAGTGAGAAGTTTCTGTGAGGTACTTATATACAACAGTATATATATATAGAACTCACCTACTCTGCCAGCAGGTCCCAACCCCATTCACATTCATCCATCCTCCTTCAATGGTCTTGTGCGACTGGCGACTGGCGAAACTCGCTCGCCCAAGCCCAAGCGCTGCGGCCTCCACAGAAGCCAGTGCCCAGCAACAGCTTTAGCGCTGGGTTGGCTTTGATGCACAGAGTGATGAGGCCCAGAAGGCCGCAGCCCATCCAATTCACCAGTAACGTACTCCACACCTTGGTGATAAGGCAAGGCAAATCAGGGGCGATCCATCGAAGTAAAACGCCACTTAAATGGGTGAACCACGGGTACCCTATAGGAGGGTCCCACCTTTTTATAGCCTGCACCTGCGATTCGAAGCCACAGACTTCTGAGAAAATGACCACAACCTCAACATAGGTGGTGTATCACACAAAATGCTCACTAAGCTTCACTGGGATTCACTGGGCGTCTCTATGCTGACCGGCCATGGCACGGACCATCCCCTCAAGGCTCCGAACTTCGAGGCAGCAAACCTGCGATCTGGTGGTGGGATCCACGTGATCTGGTGGCGGGATCTGGCTGGGGTCCGAACCAAAGGGGCGGAGGGAGAGAGGGAGGAAACCAAGGCAGGAACCTGACCTCCATCGTCCCAGCGGGTGGGCGGGGGGGTTCGGAGACTGGAGTCGTTCGGGACTTGGCCCGTCCAAAAGGAGGTCTTCTCTTTCAGTTGTGTGTTCGGATCACTGCATCTGTTGAATCCCTGTGCGGTTCATCTTGATGTAGACGGTTGATGAATAACACCCCCATCTGGAGAGGTGCTACAATCCAAAAGGAGGTGCTCCTTTTGAAAGCAACTAGCTGCTAGTAGAGCGTCTCAGGGCCTTTGGTCCAGATCAAACACACACGTTCTTTTCTTTTGGAGCGGGGGTGGTGAACTTGATCAGCACAGGCCGGGCTCATGGTTTGTCCATCCAAATTCCGTGCTTCGCAGGTCAACCCGCTTGGATCTGATATAATGGTTGATCTGGGGCTGAGTCTTAATGTTACAGCTGTGTCGGATAGGTCAAAACCCCGATGAGAGGACATGTGTCAAAACCCCGATGGGGCGGGGGCTTTAAGGGAGCAAGCTCAGACCGGCACACGACGGGTGCCTGCAGACTGCCCCCAGGCCGCCACCCAGGCAAACCAGCACCGGCTCGGCCACTGCCCGTGTGGGCGTGGTGTGCGGTGCCCGGCTGACGCGGTGCGTGTTCACGCAGAAAGCGGCGCTAAGACCAGTGATGAAGGGGAGCAGAAGCAGTCGTGGTCCTGCTGAGCAGTCGTGGTCTTTAGGTCAACAAATCAAACTAAGGGACAAATCCACGGGTGATGAATCGGAAATGGTTTTGTCAGACAGACCGGCCCAACTCCCATAAAAGATGTTGCCATGGCATTCCGCAAAGTTCTGGATTCGGGAAGTGCCGCCATGTTCCTTGTTTTATTTGTGGGATCTGCGTCTACTTGGGCCTCCCTCCCGGTTTAGAAAGGTGTGAATGCAACAAGAGTGAGTGATCAAGCCCCTTAGCTTGGTATTCAACTACTCTCACTGGAATAATTATCGTGGAAGTTCCTGAGAGTTGATAGCAAACTTAACATGGAATTGTGCACTTCCATCTTAGCGGTTTGTTGGGCCCAGAGGTATTAGTAAGAACTTGATGATCCTTGACGATAGGTCTATTGCATTGTCCATAGTTCCCTACAGCGCAGAGCTGACATGGAAGTACAAACTGCCTTTTGTCGCACCGTTTTCATCCGTTTTCCACGTGCACGCCGCCAAAAAGAGGAACCAAGACGCACGTGTAACTGCGAAAGGCTCCTACCAGGTGTGAATGGATCCCATAGATCGAGAATGGATCCCATAGATCGAGAATGGATCCCATGGATCGAGAATGGATCCCATGGATCGAGATTTCAACCAGCGAATCTTTCATGAATGATAGGGTTAACCTATCGTGTCTCTTTCATGAACTGGTGACCATTCCAGCAACGGGCAAACCTTCATGTCATGTCAGTAGTGGTCAAACACTCCGAGAGTGCTGGAGACGTTCATAGCTTGGAAAGAAGAGCCAAAAATAAAGAGGATCAAAAGAGAGAACACACCAACGCGCCCCATCTTGGCAAGCCACCTCTTGGCAAGCCACCTCTGGAAATTCCGTGCAATTCAATCCACCTGACGAACATCATCCCAACCAATCTCAGCCGCGGTCCTGTTGATTTCTTGGAGCGACGCACCGGCGGCGGGCCCTGGGCGCCGCTCGTCCCTCCGGCGCGGGCGCCTCCAAGTGGCGGGCGCCTCCAAGTGGCGGGTGCCACGAGGAGCGCATCCATCGCACCGCTTGGCTCTGAAGGATGAGAATCCTGACTCTCCCTGCAACAAGGCAAAAAACGTGGCTGTTTTTTACCAGTGATGTCCTTGCAACAGATTAGATGTTCTTGAAAGCAATTTACAGTAGATGTCCTTCATCCGGAGGATGCAATGTTCAGATGACCCATCCAATTGGTTGGGGGTTCTCTTCCTTTTTGGTACTTCTTCATGCTCCAGTGGACGCCAAGACAAACCGGAGGCGAGGAGGCGCTAGCCGGTGGTGCAGCCGGTGGTGCAGCCTGTATGATGTGGGTCAGACTTGCCATCCGAAGAACGTCGCTGATGCACAGAGCATCCGACGGTGTTCCTGTCTGTTCACAAGAAACCAGTGTACATTTTCTCCAAGAAAAGCAGCTCCAAACCGCTGCTAAACCCAGCATTCAATCTCTGGCTGAGCCCAACCTGAAGAACCTTTCTTTGTGTTCCGGACCACATAGAGAGCCCTTGCAACACATCATCCAGTGGGCAGCTCACTTCCATCCTGAGAACTTGTTCCATCCCAGTCAAGATTGGAGTTTGGATCTTCAGTACGTCGCAAACCATCGGCCGGGCCAGCAAAATGGTGAAGCTTTGTGTTCCTTGAAGCCCACTGGGGTGTCTGTCTGTCCAGGTTGGAGGAGACTGCCAAATCAATGGTTCCCCACCGAAGTATATGAGTCGATGTACTCGGCACGCATTTCGTTAGAGCCCTGCAAAGCAAGTAGCTTCCATGATCAGCTTAAAATACGTAAAATATCACTGGTGAAGTGGGGTTATGTCCCATTTTTCTATTGTTATGTATCTATGGTTCATAAAACTCACCGTAAGATTGCAAATCGAGGGTTCACATGGTGGAACCGCAGATGTTGGCAAAATGTGGTCCGGCAACAAGATGAGGGGACCATCAAACTACTACAGTACTGCAAGCTCCCTTCTCTCCCTTCAGACCTTTGGCTATTGGATGGTTTGATCATTCCACCCACATCCCCCATCAAAGAACCCTGATTTCAACACTTCCTGACAGTGGCTAGTAGTTTGGTTGTGAACCATTGATCCAAACACCTGGACCGACCTGGATGCAGAAGACCCATCCCTTTGGGCAGAATCTTCGGCAGACTCTGGATTCAAACCCACCAATTGGATTGGTCATCTTTGTTTTTCCAGACTCTACATTAGGGAATTCACTCCATTTTTGTCTTGACTTTCCTGCCAAACAAAGACCCTGGTTGACTGGTCGAGGTGCCGCTTTCGAAGCCAGGTCGGGCCACGAATGGCACATCCATACGGTGCAGCGTTTCAGGTACTGCACCGTGCTCGAGTCTTTCTCTTCCAAGGAGTTTGCTTGCTTGCGTTCTGCTCGAGATAAGATGGAGGAGATAGCAGAGGGAAGAATATGTTCTTGGGTTTCAAGCGCGTCAATCATCAACTTGATGACATCTCCCGTACATTAGCATGCTGAAGGAACCAGCTCATGAATGACCCATGGACAACCTATATAATCTCATATAATAATAATATCTCTATGTGTATATATATAGTTATATATATGTATGTATATTTTGTGTGTATATGTATATATATATATATGTGTGTGTCTATACTCTTAAAGTGTCCGTGTGCAACCTGGTCACACCACCATTTTGAGCCAACATGTCTGCAACCCAACGCAATGACTAAGGAAAAGCGCTCCCTGCCAGAGGTTGAAGGCTTCCTTAGTTAATTGCCTTGCTAAAAACTCACATGGACCCTCAAAATGCGACCCTCGGACTCCTCAGCCTCAGAGCACGATCAATCCTACCACCCCTACCCCTACCACCCTCCGGTCGCGCGTCTCAGAGCGACCTGCAGATGCCGCATCCAACCATAGAAGCGCAAACGATCCACGCGCGAGCCACCTGGCTCGGTGATGCGCGCCGCTGCTCCCGCTTCTCGGGCGTGGCACGGTGGGTGGGGCGGGTCCGATGACGCTCCATGGTTTCGCGTCATCCGAGAAGAACCAAAGCTCTTGTTTAGAAGAACGCCTCATCATAGACTCATAGACTTGACGTTCGTGGGCCACGTTTTGGAGATGAAAAAAGGGTCAGATGGTTCCATCGAAGCAGGTAGTCGTCCCTTGTCAGCAAGGGTAGATGTTCGTCATCCAGAGTAGATGCAGCAAGGACCTCTTCCCACAGGACCTCTGGAGTTCAGTTGTAGGCGCTGGTTACCAGGACCCCCCGACTCAAAGACCCCAGGAATAGTTTTGAAATGTTTTGAATGATTCTGACACCCTCAAAACCAAGGTCTTCGAGTTCTGAACTTGCGATGAAAGATGCCCACGAATTCACACACCGGACATCCGGATGCCCAGCGAATTTGGGGCTCTCCAAGCACTCCCCAGAGGGTCCTTTGTATTCGTGAGGCAGTCTGCAGATCTGCAGTGTTTTGTGGATGGGTTGTTGGTTCTGAAGGAATACCATATGCCCAGGAAGATTGACATGGAACTCTTCCCGGGGCGTATCCTTCTGTGATGGCCATGGTTCCAGGATCGACTTTCTGGTCCTGTTTGGAGGTTCCTGCCGTGCACCGTGGAGCAACACCAGTTGACGGTTCCATCTCGCGGTTTCTTTGGCTGTGTTTGTCCCTTGCGTCCAAAAAGTAGGTCACTTTTCCTTGACTGATGCTTTACGTGAGACGTGACATGAGTCATGAGATGCATTTGATCTTCTAAATCCACATGCTGTCGCAGAAACTTGCAAGCCAGAAACCAAAGAAGTTGACCCTCTGGCTTCTCGTCGAAGGTGACTCATGTGAAAGCTTTGGATTGGATCGTTGCCTCGTTGCTAGGCATCGATTGAGCCGGTAGGGGCATGGACTCGACCCTTGAAGTCATGGCAGTCGATCTGTAGCAGTCACCTGGTCGCCCACACCGTCCAACCGTCCAAGTCCAAGAACCGATTCCCAACACCTAGCGGCCCTAGCGGCGGGTCGAGCAGGTGATTTTCAGTACCAAACACCGGAGCACTATCGATCCGTCCCCCACCGGAGCAGTCGACCGGGGCGGCGCTCAGTCGTCCCAGCCTTTGCAGCGCGCCCGAGGGCCGCAGTCGGCCAAATCCAGCGTCAGGGGGTTCAGAAGGCGACACCTGGCGAAAGCGAAAGGCGGACACGCTTTCGCAGAGTGCCGATCACCCGGACCCCGGGAGAAGAAGAGGTGATCATCTACCTAGTAGATCCCACAAGCAGGTTGGTGAGGATTTAGATCCTGCGAAGGATCCAAATCAAAGTATGCCTACAACTTGTTGTACTCACCTGAAGCCTCTGCTGTGGAATGAAGCCAACTGTACCCAAGAATCCGCGTCGAAGCGAACTTGCAAATCTTGCCATTCACTCAATCCGTGCACCATCATGCACCCGTCCATGGTCAAAGGGCAGATGTTTCAGTCGGTCCAAAGATCAGACCAAGATCCAAGACCAGATCCAACTGGCACGTGCCTCTTGTAGCTGCAGCTCAGCTCTTCATACCTGTTTCACCCGATGTTTCACACCCGATGTAAGTGGCACCCTCGAAGGTCAGGTGTTTCTTATTAGTTGTGTTTGTTTGATCGTCGTTAGTGTTGCTCTTTTTGTGTGTCTTTCATTTTCGCTGTCCGGAAGCAACACTGCTGTCCATCGAACTCGTTGCTGTCCTCGCTTGGGAATAGCTCGTCACACCTCCCCGAAATCGGGGCAACGATGGAATCGGGGGTGTGCAGGAATAGCTTCTGCTAGATCTCTGCGAAGTACAAAATGGAGTCGACCGAACTCCAGAAGTGGCAGTCCAACTTACGAACTTGCCAGTCCAACCGAATCCCGGCGCACTGTTCGTGTGCCACTTGGAGCTTCTCTTGGATGCGGCTCTTGCTCCAGATGCCCTCGGTCCTGGCACGATCAATACTCAGAGCAACAGCCTGCTTCTCCGCGACCGGGCAGGGTGTGGATCGCTGGGAGAAGGTGCAATGGAGCTCGCTTGTTGATCCACTATGAGTTTGAGAAGGTCGATGGTGTGGTCGACCCTCCCTCGAATCATGGAAGTCACTTAGTGGAAAACCGGTTTGTAGACGAAGATGGTCATCCTTTACAGAGCCATGCCATCCACGTAACCAATGATTCCAGAAGGCTCTTTCATTCTCCAATCCGCCTGAGGACAGAATTTGAATTTGAGAGATGCCCCCGTGCGTTTCACAGCCGAAACATACCGAATACCAATCAGTTCAAATCCTGGTCCCCAAGCTGATCCCCCTCAGCTGCCCCGTCCGGTACATGACACATCCCTCGAAGACCCAATGGCTCGCAGCGGCCTGGAGCCGGCGATGCATGGCTTGTCCCTATGGAATGTGGGGGTGACACACACAGACAGGTGGCTGTGGGTCCACATTTTCCCCCACCAAACCAGGTTCAGATCCCTTCATATAGGACCTAGATAAATACAGTAAATGGAATTAACTTTCCTATCCACCAAAAGGATGTATAGCTGATAAAGATAAGAGGGTACAACATACGAAACACATAAAAAGATATAAAAGATAATCAAAAAAAAGCTGATAAGAAGATTACACCATGGATTTGATGGTTTACTTATGGAGAAATCACTATGAATAAACATAAACGTTGGTAAGATTTTTATATGAGGAATTAATAATATTTGCAAATCTTTCGTTTCATAGATTACTATGTTTATTCAATGTAATTCTCTATATGAATGCTTTTGCTATGTTTTTGTAACCTACAGACTCTAGACTATAGATTTAATGGTCACTTTTGTTCCTTGGCGATTCCCTTAAAAATCGTTCATTAGATTTGATGGTTACCAGGAACCCGTAGGGCTTTGAACCACGGCCAGGCCGATGTTGGATCTTCAACCGGTATCCGGTATCCTAAGCGATGGGCCCAAGCCGACTTCGCCCAACTACTGGGCACGACTGGGCACGACTACTGGGTACTGGGCACAACTGATGCAATTGATGCTCGAGACCGACACGACCGCGTTTCGGCCCAAAACGGGCCGACAGAAATTCCAAACCCCGAACTCGTGGACCGTCGAGCTCTGTGTGAGCGTTTTGTCCTACAGAGGTGGTTGGGAACTCCAAACTCCTCCATCTGCAGCCGGGGTCGAACGACCGACCGACGGGGATGACATCACTTTGGTGATGCAGGACCCTATGGTAGTCACTTGTTCTTTCCAAGATCAGCTTGTTGTTCCAACCAATCAGTGATGGTCACGTAGTTCCCATTGCGTGCTCATCTCTCAGGCCTTTTTTGTTGGAAGCTTTTGCAAACAAAGGAATGAGACCCAGAACTACAGTACACTTGGAGTAGATGGTTCCAGTCCAGAACACTTGATGATTGCTGGGCGGACGCCCTTCGGTCTGGACCTCGGACGTAAACCCAGTCCAGCACCTTCAGGAGACTGAAGTCTAGAGTCTATGGAGATTGAACTGAGAAGAAACTTAAGATTTATTGGATCTCCATTTCGTCTTCGCTACACCCCAGTCCGGCCCAGTCGGTCCCCGACCACATAGTGGAAGGAGAAGACTCCCGCCGCTGCCAGCAGAGTGGCCTGCAGCGGGAGCAGAACCTAGATCGCCTGGGGTGACCTGTGTGTAGGCCCAGGAGTCACGTCAGACGGGGTGGTGTATAGTCCCTAGGTGAGTGGAGTAGCTGGACACCCCGACTTCCTCCGTTCGTTCGGCACCCCTTTGGAACTGCTGGTATCAGTACAAACGTCCTGGAACGAGGGGCCAGTTCGAGGGATCCAGGGGTCGCAAAAAATCCGTTGTGACCAAGCAGTTTGTGTCCAACCACTAGGGAAACGCCATCCAGCCCAATTCGTGGAATAACGTCCACACATTCTCTGATGTCCCCCCAGGATCCATGAACACATTTGAGTTCCCATCAACTTTTCTAGGAGTTTCGCCTCTGGTGTTTTCGAGAAATTTTCAGCACCATCCTCCGCAGCGAAATCAAAGAGCCAACAAACAAACGCGCATCCATGCGTCGCGTCACCACTTGCCCATTCAAATGCTGAAGAAGCTCCGAAGGGTCTTTCGGTCCCGTCAGCGCAGCTGGGCACCCGACCAGCAAGAAAGTGAAGATCGCCAGCTGGGACTGGGCAGATCGCCATTGGTCGATGCAGCGCACGACTGAGCTGCAGGAGTCCAAATTGGGGCGAATTCGGAGATGGATGAAATAGCCGCTGAAGCTACAGATTTTTTGGGTTTGCACAGGTGTGAAAAGGCGGGATGACCCGATGACCCACTTGATCAATGTTTTGGCTGGTGCGCGCTGAAGGAGCACCGACCTGCGTCGCTCATGACAAGTCCAAAGACCCAGTACAACCTGGTCTTTTACCTGCTGGAGAACTGTTTTGGTATGACCAACTCCAGATCATACAAGTACGCATGCTACTCCATGCCTTTATGGCTTGCTTAGTTCTGCTTAGCCAAGAAAAAATTCCCCTCAGTGAGTGAAACTCAAGGTCATTATGACCATCAAATGAGAAGGCGTCCAAAGCGGGGCGGCCCCATCACAAGTGTTGTGTTCCATCCGTCGAGTGAAGTGGGGCCACCGCCCACCGAGCCGTGAAACACATCCCGTCAGACTCCACTCGGCCGCCGCCCACACACACGAGTAGCGTCCGATCGCTCCGTTCGTAGCGATGCCAGGAGCCCCTCTCAAGGCCGTGAGACTCGAAAAACCTCTCTTGGTCTTTACTCGTCGTGGGACTCGTGGGACTCATGGGACTCGGACCACGTGATCGTCCTGTCACGACGCGCCCAGCGCGTGGAGTTCGTCCGCGCTACGCAACGCCCAGCCTGGAAGAGCTTGGAGCGTCCGCTCGACCTCGGAAGATCAGTCATGTGGTCTGTTGAGGGTGTTGAGAAATCACTGGAGAACTAGTTTCTTAAGGGAATTTGAGAAAGGATCATCCTTTGCATTTCCACATGTTCTCATAACTATGACTTCCCCGTTCATTCTAGGTATGATTGGAGCACGACTTCCCAACTCTTCACTCAAGCCTTACTGTCCGTACTGTCCGCCCATCCCCTCCGCCTCACCCAGCCCGGACGCCCAGAAATCCGACCCCTCCCCTTCCATGTCACGTCATGCCCCTCGGAAGCCACGGGCTCCACCGGTCGGTCGGTGGGCCAATGCCCCAGCGCCCCGTTCGATGCATGGATAGCAGCGCGTTGGACGTCCAAGATGCACGCAGCTGATGAGGCCCAAGAGAAGGATCAACAAGGAGGGCACCAGCAGGAACCTCAGATGAAGGATCCTAAAGATCGTTTCACCAGAATAAAGGTGTTATTGACCAAATACCGGTGATGAACCCACTCCAAAAATGAAAACCCAGAAAGTGGAATTTGTTTATACCCCCGGAGTCGGGTACCTCTTGCATCACTTATTGTGAGCATGGCTTCAGGCTTTGCCCACGAGAACCTAGGTAGAGAGACCTCAAGTGAGTCCCCTCACAAAAAATGCTACACTCCCTAGAATCATCATGGAAGTGGCCTGGTTCCCTCTCAAAACCCAGTATGATGTGCTGTGGTGTGCCAAGTTCCTCCATGAGAGCCATGAGGCCATGAGATATAGTTGCCGCTACGGGCTATGGGAGGCTCCTTCAAGCCAATATATACTGTCTTCGATTTCTGTATCTGGTCCCATTTCTGTCGTAATGACGGTGAATGGTGCCCAACACCGCTTCCTGTCCTTGGTGCGGATGTTTGTCGGATTCAATCAAGGTCCCATGAATCATCCATGAATCCCTTTTTTGTGGAATCCTTTCGTGATGACTGAATCCTAAGATTCATGGTCTTCATGCAGCACATCTCTAAAAGAAAGCAAAGGAGTCACAAAATGTCCACCCTTTTTGTAGGGATCCTTCTAAATCAACTTGTTGATCTTCGTGGTCCTTCGTCTCGAACCCCACAGGACCGAGCAGAGCACGAGAGTGGGTATCGATACCGAAAACAAAAACCTTGCCGAATCCCAGATGATCGACTGCATGGAGAGTTTCGAAGAGGATGTTGGACAGACCCCAGCTACCACTGAGAAAGGGTGAAGATTTTGAAAGAGTGAATCGAAAGTCACACCCTGTCAACAAGTATGGGATGTCATTCTATCGTGCGAAAGAAAATCATGCCCACATGAGCCGCATCTCTTGTACTGGTTGTTTGTTTCTTCGGGTAGGAAGAAGTAGATTGATGCTTCAGTCATAGTAAGTATATAACATATCTCCCAGAAGTCCAGAACAAAAGAATATATATATATATATTAACAAACTATCCCGGCAAGAGAAACTAAACAGAGTGTCTAGAGGTCTAAGGGCTACAAATTTAAAAGCAGAAGGTCTAGAGATCTACAGGTTGGCGCCAAGGCGTGTTCAAAGCCCTCATACTGGATTCCTCAGAACTGGGTAGGGTGGCCTCCCCTTCCTTCGAAGGGAGACGAGACAGCCTTGGCGTCGCGCATCGTTAACCTTTCTACTAGTCTTCTTCACGCATGTCCGTTATTAGCAGTCATGCTTTCAACCATTGAAAGCTGCGCTTTGCAGGCCACCCCTTCCAAGGGATGGCCACCCGTCTGCAGTCGAGCCTCACAAACCGGCTGCGTCGGCATACATTAAAGAAGGGATGGTCCAAGTGCAACTCTTCACTAAAACAATCATGGAAGTGGATAGCGGCCCCTGGAAAGACCGTGATACCCGAATACCAAACAGGGGGATTGTCCACTTCCATGTTTGTCGGGGGGTCAACTTGTTTAAAGGATATTAGATGTTGCTACGGTCAATATGCACTGATACTAACTGATCATTTATTTCAATATATGTGGATACCATGAAGATAAGGGGCGGTCACACTGGTTGCCGGCCTCATCTCTTCCAGTCTGACCACCTTACCGGACTCCCGTACGTCCGCCGGGTGGCCAGCCCACCTCCGGCACGAAGAGCGCGGTGACCTGTGACCGCGACAAATCGGATCGTCTAGCCCTTTGTCCAACTGATGTGTCCAACAATGTGCAACTCTTGGTGTAGGGTGCTTTGATGAAGATCTATGTGTCTTGATTTCAGGCTCATTCACTCCATTTCCACCACAGGGTGTCTTGATCATCACGGGCCGCCCATTCCCACCGGCTCGAGACAGGCATAGGCAGCTAGCAGGGCGGCCAAGGCACCGCAGATCAGCGTGCACCTCGGCACGTTTCATGCGGACATAGATCAGAGCAGAATGAACGAGAGTTACCCTCCATCCAACAAACCTGGAAGTGGAACATGGCCCGTTGGAAGACTGTGTTCCCAGATGGTTGCAAGCTGTAAGGGGCTCTTACTTCTTGGAGGTGTGGCTCTGGATCGGCGATTTTTGGCGCCGCTGCTGCTGTGCTGCTCCTGCCTTGTCTCCCAGGTGTGTCTCCCTTCATGCTGTGGCTCTGGATCGCTGCGCTGTCGCTGCCGCTGCTGTGGCACTGCTGCCTTGTCTCCACTTGTCTCCTGACATGTCTCTTCACTTATCTGCCTGCGTGATTGCCATTTTGGTTTGCCGCTGCTGAGCCGCTTCTGACTTCTCTCCCCACTTGTCTCCTTACAAGTCTCCCTTGGTAGCCTGTGTGATCGCCGTTTTGTCTGCCGCTGTTGCCTTGTCTCCTTACTTGTCTCCCCATTTGTCTCTTCACTTGCCTCCCCGCTTGTCTGCCTGTCTCCTTACTTTTTGCTGCACTTGTTTGTCTGCGTGATCGGCGTTTTGTCTGTCGCCTTACATGTCTCCCCACTTGTCTTCCTGCCTGTTTGGTGTTTTGTCTGCTGCTGCTACCTTGTCTCCTTGCTTGTTCCCCCACGTCTCTTCCCACTTGTTTTGTTTGATCGCCATTTTGTTGTCACCTGACTTGTCTTCCCTTGTCTGGTTTAGTTTTACTTGGCTACTTACATAATGGATTTTTGTCCCACGTGCTTTTGTCTTTAGAGTTAGTTGCTTTCCGGGGTCTATGCCGGTGTAATCCTCTACTAACAGGCCGTTTTCCGCTTCCTTGATTTCTGGAGGGAGGGCATAGTGTTCCTGCGTGTGTTGCTGGTTTTCCCAGTTACCCGATTGACCGGAGCCGGTTGAACCGGCGGTTCCCGGTTGAACTGGTTGTTTCTCTATTACACCACGACAACGACCATCACCACCACGACGACGACCTAGGTACTAGTGTCTACAACGATGACCCCACCGTCTCCCATCTATCTTTCGCCCCTTCCAGGCTCCAGGCCATGCGTTACAGCGCACCGCCCTGGCGCCGCGAGAACATCCAACGCCGCATGGAAGCCCGGTCGGTCCAAACGCGACCAGGTTCTGAAGCCGTGTTTCTTGGTGTGGGAGGGGAGTGAACCGAACGTAGTCCTTTCATCCGGCTTAATCCGCAAAACTTTGGGTTGCACCCGTGCATGACCTTGCTGGGGACACACGTTACGGGGATCGTTTGGTTATTAGTAGCTGGGCATTGAGCTTTTGGAAAAAAAAGGAAGCAAAGGTCTTGGGGGTCCAAACACCTGTCCGGCTGTCCTTAAAATGGCCCCATGGAAAGTTAAAGGCCTTGAGACCCCGAAAAAGGACCTGGCCCATCGCCTCCTCCTCCACTTTCCTGTGTGCATCCATGTGCTGTGGGAATCGTCTACACTCCCTGAAGTGGATCGCACCATCTGTTGTTCATGGTCAGCCTTATGGGGGCTGGGGCCAGGGCCGTTCCGTCTTCCCGCCCCCCTCGACTCGAGTCGCACGCCTGCTGTCCTCGGCCTCGCGGGCTGTGTTTAGGGTGACCAGTGACCCTCCCAACATGGAAGTGAACACTCACTGATTTATGAAGGAATCTGTAGGTGAATGAAAACCCATCTATGTTTCTGGGACTGGCTGGATGGAGGCTTCGATTCTATGTTTCTACCACCCAAACTCCCTGCTTCTATCCACTTTCCTGTTTGTCGGGTGGGGGTGGGGTGCAAGACAAATTCCTGGATCATGAAAGGTTTACCCACCCTTGGAGGCGATTGTACTGCAAGATAGGCACCCTTTCCAGTCCGACCAAGATCGCTTGGGATCTATGTCTTCTTTCCCACCTTGGACGCTAAGTGTTCCACTAAACTGAACCAACTCGGAAGCGAAAGATTCACCACATTCAATTCCAAGGACGAACACTGCCAGGGTGTAGTGTTCCAAGCCAAAATCATCCAAAAATCGATCCATCGCTCCAGCATCGAAGTAGTGTTTTCTCTTGAGCCAATCGTCAGACCACCCAAGTAAACTGTTCACCAGCTGGTAACTTCAGAGCAGGTTTCCCTCCGGACTCACTGGAACTTGCCACTCGTGCGAGCTTGCTACTTCCTATGTTGGCGGATCATCCAAATCCCAATCCACACCCAATCAACTTCAGAAACCTTTATCATAAGTTCTCAAGTTCAAGTCCAAAATTGTCAGAACATCCTAAGAGATTGCTGATACGGATCCTGATCCAGCCATTGGTCGTTTGGGGATCTGTATGATCTACATCGAAACTTTCAAACGAACAGGCTGTGTTTGAGATCAGGTCTTCAAGCCTGATTCTCGGTGAAGGGGCCTTCCATAAAACGAGGGCTCTGGACAGAATGTGGGTTGTAGAAATTGAAAATGTGGAAATCAAAAAGTATCCAACTTGGTGTTTAAGTAAAACAACTGACAACTATCATGAAATGTCCCTCAACATTGGAGTCCCAAATGGCCACCGTTCTTTTCGATGGCGTCCCTGGCGGACTCCAGAGAAACCGCGCCATCGGGAGTCCGGCGCCATGCACACGCCCGGCCAGGAGGCGAGTGAAAGCATCAAGGTCGCCAGGTCGCTATGAGAATCTACAATGCTTGGGAAATGTGGATGTTCCAAAAAGATTGAACAAACATGCCAAACGTACGTCAGCGACTTAGCGATGGAGGACTTGAGTGTCCACCCATCTGTTCAAGATTCTACAACAATAATTGGACATCGGAACCCCAGGGCAGGGCCACATCGGAACCCCAGGGCCCACTGCTCAAGATTCTGACATGTTTTCCCTGACATGTGTTTGAGTTTCCACTTCCCATGCGCAGAGCCGGGTTTCTGTCTTCTCGGACTGTTTTGATCGAGACCTGCGCAGGCTATTCTCAGTGACAGGCTAATCTGAGCACTGCAGAGATGGTTTGATTTTGCCCTTTAAATGGGGACCACCCAAGGTGTTCTAAAAAGCCGGGTGGATTATTGATTCTGAGACACATCCCCTTGAGTGCTTGTGGATTTACAACTTCATTGTGGTACCCCTTGCGTCCTGCTTAAGGGAGCATGGAGAAGTCTTCCAACCAGCTGGGAGCCGTATCAAATCAACGCTTGGAGTTGCAGTGGCAGGTGGAAGCTATGACATCATCACATGCACTCAAACTGTCTGCCATTCTAGTGGTTAGGCGTGGCTAGCCTATGCGGCCAAACAAGCTCATGACCTCTACGCGATTCACAAAAATCTTTCAAGCTCTGTGCTCAAGTTTCTTATGCATCGACATCCCACGGCACACAGAAAATGGTCAAATCGGAAACGACTAAATGAACACGCCTTGCGCATCCTTTTTCGAAACAAGCCACCTTCAACAAGTACCAGTTTTCAGCCTACACGTGTGCCAGTGAATCTGGGCCAGCTTGCAGGTTGTAGCTTCTGGACCAGATCCCAACTACTTGGACTGGTCGACCCTGAGGCTCGGAAAGCTTCGTTCCAAACTAGGTCTGGCCCGCTCGTACCCAGGTTGATTCGAAAATCCGAGGAGGAGGACCTTTTGGAAGTTGCTTGCTTTTGGGATGTGTGGATCCGCTCTCCAATCTGAGCGTACTTTAAGCATACTTTGCTTCATGAATAAAGATCAAACAGTCCCTGGAAGACGATTCTGCAAACACCAAAACGACTCGTTGACCATCCATGTAGGAGCAACTGCGAAGGGCTTTGGCTCAAAGTATCAGGCTCCAAAACCGGAAGCTGTTGAGAAAAAAACCCTTGAAACAACGAGCGCTTATTCATCCCATTTCTGAGAGAGACACAACACTATCCGGACCGAACAACTCAGAAGCACCCATTTTTCTTCCGCACGTGCGGCGCGTGCGGAAGATGCTGCATGCCCCAAATGCCTGCGGTGCAAAGGCTGTACACCGTGTCACCCCCTCGCTCACCCAAGCTGAAGCGAACACAAACAGAAAAGACGACCTGGTCAGGATAGGGCGACCTGCTACTTATTGAAAACAATCCACTCTGGATGCTTGAAAGTCCCTTTTTCCTGGCCATGGCTCCACCTCGTGGCTTCTCTGTAAGTTCGAGAATGATTTCGCACACCCGACCTGGGAGAGCCCACGGTCGTTTCACACCGATGGCTAGTTGTCGATGCCAAGTTCATGAGCAACTGGCGTAGTTCAAACATCCCGAGTGGATTGTCTTCGATCAAATCGGGTGGCCAAGACTGTGTGGGTCGCTGATGTGTTTAATTTGCCACCTGCATCGGGGGTGAAGGAAGTTGCACCATGTTCCCAAGTAGATGTTTATGTGTACCCAATGTGTCAATATACCCAGAAGTGCACCTTAAATTGAACCTCTAAACTACCAATTGTGGCACCTTCTTCCAGGATGCCTAATGACAGCCCGCCTCTTAAAAGCCAAGAAAGAACCCTTCAAACCAACACCAAGATGAGGTTTGCCTTAAAGTGGGAAACACTGGAGACCCCCGGCAAGTGCTTTTGGATGCAAGTTGTTTACAGTTTATGTGTGTGTGTGTTTGTGTTTTTTATGAAGAAGTCTCTTGGACACTGCCATCTCTTCCACACCCATCTCACCCACCCATGTCACCCACCGCCTTACGCAAGTGAAGCGCTCAGGAATGCTGCCAGGCCCTTGGCATGTGCAAGTTCCTTCACACTTTGACCTCGAACAGCCGAACAAAAATTGTACCGCCGCGGTTTGCGGCAGGCCCGAACAGTGTGGCATGCTGCATGCTTCGTGGCGCGGGCTTCGTGGCCCGGCGTGACTGCTTATTTTAGGAGTGCTCGGACCATTGGTCACAACTGCCAGGGACACCCGAGTTCTGTTTGAATAGGGACATCTCCTCTACACTTTCCAAGCAGCTTCCATTGAAAGCATAGGAGCACCCATCTTCAGAATGAAGCAGCCAATGTTTGCAGTCTTTTCAAGGTGGACATTCCATTGGCACGTGCTCTCCCCACCGTCCCCACCAAGCCGACCTTGGCTGTTCTTGGCATCTACATCAGCTCGTGCAGCCACCAGCAGCTGTGCCACAGAGGCGCTGCCGCGGCGCCGGCGTGGTGAGGAAGGCTCGGTGGCGGCGTTCGGGAAGACCAGGTGTAGCGGCGTCTCACCTGAGGCCAGACGAATTCATGCCGACCTGTACGGGCCCCACATGAATCTGAAAGTGAGAGGTCAGGTCGTCTCCACTTTGAGAGATGGAAGGAGACTCTTCGCCCAACAAAACGTCCAAAGGAAAGCAACAGCGGACAGTTGTGAACACGTCGGACGTGTTCAATTCCAATGTATGTACCTAGAACATCCTAGAATTTCAGTGACTCCGCATGACTCCGTGACCCCGTCTTTTGAAGCCAAAGCATGATCTCTTCCTATCAACAGTGGTCATGTCTGGGTCGCACAGGTGTCACAGGGTTCCGACCCAACCGACCCTCTCACACCATCCGACCGACCCGATCGACTCCCTCCGGGCCTCTTCGGCTTTGTGCATTCAGGCTGGCACCTGCTGTCACCAGCAGCCGGAGCAGCTCGCAGTGCTTCTCCTTGGCCGCGAAGTGCAGTGCCACTTCACCTGAGTGCGAAGAAGTCAGCAGAGTGGGCAACATCGGGTTTCAGAGTTCCTAAAAGAATCGAAAACAACACCATGTTCAACCCACTTGTAGAGCTGTACCTTATTAGGGTCACTTGGATTATCCAAAAATGTTTCATTGGTTGGTGTTCACTTATTTGGGATACTGTAATTTCATTCGATCCACTGTAAGGGCGCGACTGCCTTTTTCCTGCCGGGATTCTGACGCTTTGCTTCGTTGGTACTGACCCTGTCTGCGACCCGGGCTGTTTCACCCGATCGAGCTGTTGAAAGCGCTTCACCCTGTCAGGCTGTTTCTATTTTCTCTCTTCGTCCCCTCAGCTCCTAGCCCTGCGAACCCTGCGGACCCTGCGGGGCTGAGGTGATGTTTGATAGCTCTTCTCAGATTCCCAGAAGAACAATGATCACATGTGTGAAGCCCAAGTAAGTGACCACCTTCCCCGTCCACGCAGATTGAAGGCCTTGAATCGACCCAACAAACAGCATCCACCCAACCAACCAACCAACCAACCAACCAAGCAAGCAAGCAACCAACCAACCAACCAACCAAACACCAAACCACCCACCCACCCACCCACCAACCAACCAACCAACCAACCAATCGCCTACAACAGCACCGACCCAACCCATCCATTCCTTCAACCATTTCTCCAAGTTTTCTGCCAAGACCATTTCAACCACTTCTCCAGATCCTCCTGCATCACCCTCTCTTGCCTGGCACGCAGAAAAGCTGGGCACCCGTGCCATCCTTCTCAGTGGTCGCATTCACCGCAGCCGCAGCCTCCAGCAGCCGGCGCGCCGTGTCGCAGTTGCCCTGCTGGGCGGCCAAGTGCAGTGGCAAGCAGCCTCAGCTGGACCGCCCAGGGACCGCCCAGTCGAGTGAAAGGTGTCACCCCCCGCGTGGTCCTTTCACCGTCGGCGCCCCGCGCCAAAACGGGCGCTTTGATGTGAAGATCCAAAGATCTAGAGGACCGAAACATCCTCAACAGTTGTGCTCAAGCATCAAACGAAGAGTTAAACAATTTGGATGCTATTCCAAAGCACCAAAAATCTGGAGCAAAAAGCTTGCTGCTGCGCGGCTGCGCCAACCTCACACACTCACCTCCAGGATTGCTTGGCCCCTGGCTTACTTACTGCAGGGCTTACTGCTATGAAGACCCTCAAAGCCTGCCATACGGATATGGCTCATGATCCACCATTCTTGAATCACTCTCCCATTACAATCCAATCCGGTTGTTCAGTTCAATCAAACAGCTGAAATGAGCTTTTGATACAGGTTGGCGTTTTCGTGCAGCCGCATGTTAACATGTTGGGAGCTCGGCAATACCTCCTTCGCCTAACTACATTGCTTTCCCGCCGGCTAAACCTGCTGCTCTCCGATCCGCGTCTTTTACCGGATTTGAGTCTAGATAGGTCCTTTGCGGTAGATAAATTCAATGATTGTGTACATACAGCAGTAGCCGCAGTAGCCTGTTGTTCTTACCACAAAAACCCCAGTACCCCACCATGACCAAAACCTACCGCGCCAAGCTCTAGGCTCCCACGCCGTACACGTTGGGCGCCTCCAGCACGGCCCGGGCCGCCAGCAGCGCCGCGACGGCGGCGCCGTGGCCGCGCTGCGCGGCGAAGTGCAACGCGGTGGAACCGTTCGTCGGGGTGTTGGAGCCTCGGGGCGGGCACATCCAGCAGATGCAGATGTGAAGATGGGCTGGGAAGATGATGGGAAGATGATGGGGATGGAGGGTGGGAGATGGGAGGGTGAGAAGGGTGATGAATTTGGGACCCCTCTCTCTCTCTCGCTCTCTGTCAGCACTTCTCTCCTACTTTTGTTCATGCTGCAAATACTCAGTCTCAAACGCTTGCCCTCTTCAATCAGCTGTGCTGAACCTACTTGGTCTCGGGCCGGTCTTCTCGTCCACCATCGCTTTGAAGTGCAAGAGTAGCTGAACCGCTCCAACATGGCCCTGCTGCGCCGCAAGATGCAGCGAGGTCTCACCTCAGGTGCGAAGAGGTTCACGGAGGATCTTTGGCAAGGAGACCCCAGGCATGTGAATGCTATATATATATATGGCATTTGCAGCCTCCCCTGTGGAGTCTTTTCTGAAGTGGGTTGCACTCCAAGTGGAACAAATAACACAGAACGCCCATGCTGCTTGCAAGGCAGTGCCGCGCTACTTGGGCTTCCAAGACTTTCCATCTTCTGCGGGAGCCCTGGGAATACTTGGCTGTGGGTCATGGCACCAGGAGACCTTGCTTGACCCATATACCTGGAAGGCCAACCCACCAGGGATATCCAGGAATATCCGGAGTTCCGAAAAACGAAGACCTCCCATTCCGACCCATCCCGTGAACTTCGTGGAGTAGTCAAACGCGTTTTCTCGCGTTTCTCCAACCTGAAGACGTTGAAGCCGCTGAAGTTGGGAGGATTCCGATGAGAACACGGCGGCTGGAGAGGAAACAATGAGGTCAGGAGAGAGGCGAGAAGATGGAGCAGTAAAAACGGTGAGTGAAGACGGCGCCCCAGAAAGGTGATGGAAGGAACGTTTTGCCTCGCCTTTGCCATCGCAGAAACAACTCGCAAAGAAAAAGTGGAAGCCCGAAAACTACCCCCCTGACTCACATACAAAGGATTCAGGATAGGATGCAGAACATACAATACACAAGGACAACTACCCCCCTGACCCACAGGATCGGATGTCAGTTTGTTGCACTCCGATTGTATCGTAGACTGTTCGGTCCAGGTCTTCATACGTCGTTCGATGGACACCAGAGATGGGTCTACTGGGAACTGACCGGTGGGTTGGCACAAAGCTAATCAAGGGTCCAGCAAGGGCAAGCAAACCCCCAAGTAGAGTCCTATTGCTTGTTGGAATGCTTGGCAGTCACTTCATCATTCTGGCCTGCTGTACTTGGCAAACCTCCAGATCTTCGCCACACGTCTTCACCACCAAAATTGTTGGAGCCTCGACAAACCTAGTAACAAGAAGCTATAGGTTGGAGACCATCGCTAGCAGGTTGGAGGCCATTACTAGTAACAAGAAGCTAATAGAAACAAAGGCCTGCAAACCATCCAGATTGGCTCGGCTTCCGGGCCGTAGCTATTCTGCGCCGAGACCTCCGCATGTGCTGCCAGCAGCTGTCGTGCCACCACCACGTGGCCGTGCCGCGCGGCCAGGTGCAGCGGCGTGGTGCCTGTGAGACCGGGAAGGACTCGTTGGATGATGGGGTGGGAGATGGTACATGGCTGTGGGTTAAGAACCAGAGACCTTGGTGAACCACCGAAAATGAACAGAGAACATGGGCAACCCTACCAGGGAGAAACGGGCTCCGGGTTTTGACCCACAGCCATCATATGTCCGGAGATATTGGGTCCGATCACTAGTGTGTCAACTTAGCCAAAGATACAGGGGCAGCAGCGTTCGTGGAATTTGGTGAGACGTCACGATCAGGTACAGTAGTGATACAGTTCTTTGTAGGCCATGATAAACAAAACACAATCACTAAAACGGCACATATGGAGACATATGGTATGAAGGTCTGAAAAGCATGTCCAGTTCAACTCGGCCAAAAGAGTGTTTTGCACCTATTTCTTTGTTGCTTCTCTTGAAAGGAAGAGAAGATTTGCTGGTGTCTTCGTGCTGACTCAGAACGAAAAAACACAACCATCGCGACCAGACCAGGACAGGTGCCACAATGCAACACGTTCATAGGTCAGGACCCAGCTAAACTGTTCCATATGATGTGACCATCTGTGGAGGTGCAAGCCCGGAAGTGAGGACCTCTTCTCCAACAGTGGATCTGAAGTCAAAAATGTTTTAAAGATCTTCGAAAGCTTGCATGGACCACCCAGAGTTCTACCCAACAACAAATGCAACCGAACTTGTCCTTCAAGTGCAGCAAGCTGATGACGACTCTACTAGTACAGTAGATAACTAGTACAATTACTGGTCATTAACATAGACATTGACATGGATAATTAAGCAATTTCCTGAGGTACAGCCGGACCCGTCTTTTCCTCATACGTCGTGGCGTCATGCCACGCTCCGTGGATTGTCCCGCCCTCCGCCGTCCGCGCCTTCCTTGTCCGTTCGGCCAATCTCCTCTCCCGCTCGCAACAGGTGACGCACCGCCGGCACCGCGCCCTTGCGCACCGCGTCGAAGAGATCCCTGCCTCGGGACGCACACGAAGACGATTCAGGAATGAATTGAAATCGGATGAAAAAGCATATAAGAAAGAGTTAGAAATGAGAAGAATATAGGAATATAGAATACCAATGTACGTTTTCGGGGTTTGAGCGAACTTGCACAACCAAGAGCACGGGATAAACATGCCGTGTCAACGTAAAAGTGGATGAAACTAAGAATTCGACAAGCTTTTGCTTCCACTTCATCAGCCTGCTCCAGTGCGTTGCTTTCAAAAGATCGTCATCCTCATACAAACAAAGGTATCAACAATGACGAATTCTTTCTTAGGGAATCAGTCAGGTGTTTCAATCTTCATCCTTGTTACTCCATACATTCCAAATACAACGACTTGCGGCTCGCCACTCGCCTTGCCCGAACCCCACGTTGGACCCCAACACAATCCACCTTGAGTTTGGACCTAACGAGCGCATTCCTGAGCTATCCGATGTGCTATAGCCAGTGAAATGTCTGTTCCCATGTGGCTCTGGTGGAAGTCGTTGCTACAAAAAGAAACAAACTATACACGAAATCTGTGACCGTGAGAATTCTGGGCTCTCCTACACCGCTTCTGCAGGGCCTGTTCACTCGGATCTTTCGGAGTGGAAAGCTCCGACGAACTCTGGTGGAGAACACTCGCCACATGCCTAACTACCAAGGCAGTGCCATGAACCGATCCGAACTGTTCGGCGGCCTCCTGTTCAGCGCCTGGCGTCAACGACGGGGTCACCGGAACGAGCTGCCGACCCCGGTCTAGGACGATGAACGTGAGCGTGAGCGGAGCGGGGCCGACGTTTTCCTCAATAAGGAGCCGGCAAAGAGCTCATTCTTTTGGTGAATGTGTCTCAACTCTGTTTGCTCCGTCTGTCCCCTACCACCCCACACACACACACAGATATATATATATATATATATGCAGCATTGCTTGATTCATGGTTGTAAAGTGAGGATCATTGAATGCTACAAGTGCAGTGTAGTCCTCAATTGTCAATAATTAATCAATATGGAATACTCGAAAATAAATAGCAATTCTGGCAATTCTGCTTCCCCAGCATAAAAAAGGTTTCATTGTACATACACATATGTACTCCTTGGCAGCCTCAAAACGTGCAGCAGCAGCAGCAGCAGCAGCAGCAGCAGCAGCAGGACATGTGTTAAGCATATAATGGTCTTAGTCTTAGATATTGAATACATTAAACACACCATATGTAGATCTTTGAGTTGATCATTTCGCAGAATCCCTATCTATGAGGAAGAGACTATGTTTGATCAGTGTGCACCAACTGGCTGGTGTCGACCCCGGAAAGTGGCCCAGTGCCAGTGCAGCAGCCCACCCGTCCACATCCAGCCACCTGGTCGTTCGGAGATCTGGAGGAGGTCTTCGGCGAACTGGGGGTTCTTCTCCTTGGCCATCTGAAGCAGCGTCTGGCCTCAGGATCCACACCCATGTGATCGTCTGTAGATCCTTTTTGGCGGTCGATGCGCTTACCAGAGCTTTGCGGTCACCTTCCCGCGCATGAGCCGGGAACGCTCTCGGCTTCGCGCAGCTTGAGAAACCCGGCCGGTGCGATTGTTGGAGCAGGAAGTGTGCAAGTTGGCTTTCGAGGCCAGCAAGGCCTCAGCGGCCTTCAAGTCTTCCTTCTCCACCGCAAACTCCAAGGGCCGACAGCCTCGCAACACGCAAGGTCCGCCGAACGCAAGAATGTCTGGTCCGCCAAAACCCAGAGGTGTGAGGATCGTCTCAATGTTTGCGGGTGGCGTGGTCGTGGGTCGGGTGGAAATGTTGCGCCAATTTACAGCCAACAGTAGTATAGTCCTTCTAGTATGGTCCGAGAACTCTCCAGAGGTCAAATGTCCACAAACAACAAATCGTTTTGTCTTCAACCAAACCTCATCACCCACACCTCCACACCACCCATGTCTCACCCATGTCCCACCCCACCCACCACCCCACCCCACGCCGCCTCGGTTGTTTTCAACATCCGATGCCCCTGCCGCCAGCAGCTGCCGGGCCGCCTCAATCTGCCCAAACTGCACCGCCCAATGGAGGGCGGTATCGCCTCGGCCACCGGTCGACAACAGACGCAGCCGAGGAGCGAGTCGCCGGGCCTGTTTCAATCAACATGTTTGGAAGAAGAGAGATGATGTGACGATGTCATAGTCATAGGCTCAAGATATAAAGTGATGGCTTTCTGGTCAGGTCACCTTGTCGTTCCTAACATGAGCTAAGACCCACTTTTCTACCTATGTGTGGAGCGCTCTAAGCCCCACCCATGAATGATTACCACCCATCGACGACCTAAGGTGGAAGAGCCTATAATATAAGAAATTCTTAGCTTTGGAGGGTTATGCCTCATTTAGCAGAACTACAGTGGTCAGCATGCTCTCCTCACCCAGTGTGACATAGACATAGACGTCTCATGTCTTGCGGGATCTTAATAAACGAGAACCGACGGTCAGGGGGTCATGCAACAATTTTGGTTCTGCTTGGTAAAAGCATTATGATGTCTTCTGCCTGGCCCTCTTGCTGGATGAAAGCCTCGATTTGTAGAGGAAATACCGATCATCTCCTTCGCACTAGCTCCAGGTCAACAAACCTTGCTTTTGTCGCTAAAATGGTGGCCCAGAGTGGCTCCTGTGTGACCAAAGCACCACACACGTCCTTTGCATCCACCAGAGCAGCCGCATCCAGCAGCAATTGCAGCACTTTGGCACTCCCACGCGTAGCCGCACCGTGGAGCAATGTGCGGCCTCAAACGCGGGCCAAATCCATATGAAGAGGTCCGGCAACAAGTACCCGTCTGAAAGACAGGGGTTCAGAGCTTGTGAGTGCGGGCTCCATATGAAGAGGTTTGGCAATCCAAATGGGGAAGGTGACTCTTCAACGGCTCACATCGAGGGTGTGTCCGGTCTCACCCCAGGCCCACGGTCATGGTCAAAAGCTTCTGCCGTGGTTGGGTCCCAAAAAGCATCATGAATCATAGGGTGCATCTCCTGAGGGTATTTGTCTGGCATCGAAATCCATTGGTTTGGGGGAGTGCTTGTTGGAAGCATCTGAGGGAAAGTAGTTCACACAGTGGGACGAGGCCTTGTGGTTTGCCACCTTTTTTGCAACCGTTACTGCATTGCAAGGCAGGCAGGCAGGCAGGCAGGCACGCACGCACCCAGGCAGGCAAGCAAGCAGAGAAGTTTTGCAATACGCTCTATGTCCTTCAGGACCAAAAACGATACAAAAGGCTGTTGAAACTCAGCTTTTGAACCCTATACAACACCCGCAGTATTTGCTCACAACAAAGTTGTAAATTCACGCTCACTTCATGGATAAGCAAAGGAAAGCCTCATGTTCTCCTGTCATCCTTTCGCTCCCCAAGAATCCGTCCGTGGCACCAGCATCACCCTCTCTCACTACAACCGAGAGACCCAAAGAGTCGGCCTTCATCACCTCCTGTGGCCGACAGTGGAGGAAGTGTCGCAACGCACCCAGCTTCGCCTTCTCCACCGCCTGCGCCATGTCCCGACCTGGGCAGCGCAAATACTCTGCGCGCACGCGCGCGAGGGCTCGGATTCCGAGTCGGCCGGTCAACGCCTCAACCCCCCGCGAGCCGACCCTGGAAAATAAGGGTTCACTGGACTTCTACTAGGAACAAAGGCATCACTACTAGTAGCTAGAAGTTTCTAGTAACAAGGGGCATCGCTACTTCCACCTGTTCTTGCTTAGAGAAAAACAATCCCCAAAACCAATCGCCCAAGAAAGCTTGCAGCAGCAAAAAACACTTTTCTTGTACCCAGGAGCCCGACACACCACTTCCGACGAAGCTTCGTCCCACGAAGCTTCGCAGCTTCCGACCGCTTCCGACCTTGCTGGGCTCCCCACATCGATGGGCTTCTGCTGCATCCGCCTACCGGAATCACCACCAAAATGCCCAGAGTTGTCACATGCCGAAGGGGGCGTATGTTGTCTGTGAAAAAAACTATATGTGTGTGTGTGTGTATATATATATATATTGCAAAGAACGAACGCCGGTAAGAACGACCTTTTCGCTCTTTTGGGCCAACGCTCAAGGCCTGCAGCCGAGTTTCGAACTCACGACCAACCTAGAGGAACCTGTACCGTCCCTCGTGGCCGCACAAGCAAGGAACACACCTGACCATCTCATGAGGATGCATGCTTTTCCTGACATTCCTCAGTATTCTGTGAGTGGTCAGGTTGTCGTTGCACCTCCTGGTGCGAGCTGCTAGCACTTGAAACCCTTGCCATGGCCTCCATGTTGATCTCTTCTGCCAACATACTCATCTGCTTTGCCAGATCACTCATCTGCCCCTTGTCATCGTACACGCACGCTGCTTCCCAGGTGACAGTCAGCAAAAAATACTTTCGCTCTTTTCCAGTCAGCTGGTTCCATTGATCTTGGCTCATTCCTGTAGCCTTCTTTGTCATGGTCTCAGGTTCACCTTCATCTTCTTCCATTGAGCTGTGCTCCTCTTCATGTGGCGCAATGCGTCCATCACCTTCTGGAAATAGTTCTGGAGGTACTGGCGACTCCAGCATGCTCATCACTTCCGACTGCGTAGGTGTTCCCGGAGCCTCTCGTCTGTCCTGCCTCTTTTGCAGAATCTCCCGTTTGGCTTCAGAATATACCGAAGGTGTTCTATGCCTCTTCCTCTGCTTCAGCCTCTTCTCCAGGTCTAAAGCTCTCACCTCTTGTCTTTCCTGCTTGTACTCAATGCGAATCAGGCGGTCGATGACCTTGGTGATCCGGTAGCTGTGCTCCTCTGAGATGTCTTCCATCTTTTGGTATGTGAAGCGATTGCTGTCTGCTATGAAAGCTGACACTCTCTTGAAATCCTCGTTGATCTTCTGCCTCTTGCTGTCCTTTCCTGTAATCAGCACAGTGTTTTCCACAAACATCTGCTGCACGCCTCCATGGATCAACTCTTGCGTCTTTCGACTCTGCTGTCCAAGCGCATGGAAGATCGTTGTTGTCTTCTCGTCCAATCTTTTCACAATCATGACCATCATCACCAACATAGCTCCCAACATCAACATCAAACATTCTGAATTCTGCGAAACCTTCGCCCGCAATCCAATGGTGACCATCAGCATTGCGACCATTGCAACAAGAGCGCCTTGTTTGTACAATGCAAGGTCCTCATACCACTGAAACAGCTTGGTGTGATGTGTTGTATTGTACCATAGAGCTGCTGTCAGGACAATGCTCAAGCACGCAAACATCAACTCCCAGGATGGCCAAGACAAGATCGTCCTTACGTCCTGCTCTGCTTTCACCGGAAGGAACTGCTGTGCAAACGATAACATCAGTACTGACTTCGCACTCACACCTGCGGTTGTGGATGGCGAGGATGTCGAGGCGGCAGTGTTGGGGCTGTTCGAACGGTCTTCCTCCTCCAGTTCAATGGGCATCTTGTTGGGAGATGTGGCTTCTTCATGGTCCTTGACTTTTTCTGGCTTGGGTTTTCCATCGGGGATCTCCAACTTGCGACTCCTTGAAGTCTCAGGTAGTCTTGGATCCGGGCCAAGAGTCCATTTGTTGGAGTAGAGCACGTCATTCAGATATGCCAATCCTTTCCGATGAAGTGCCTTGGTCAAAGCATCTGCCAGTTGCTGTTCGGAAGGAACCCATCTGCATTCAATGCCTTCCTGTAAACTCTGCCTGATGTCGTTCTGACTTCATGCAACCATAGAGGGATCGGCAGTCTGTCACAGTAACTCCTGGCACTCGATGCAAGTGGTCCTTGTACTGGCGCATATCCAACTCTCCATGCAACATCTCCAGGATTGCAGCACCAAGCCAACTCAGAGCATCCAAGGCCTCCGAACAGGAATATGCTTCTGCACTCAGTGTTGATCGTACCACACGTTGAATCTTGGAAGATGTCCAATGCACAAAATGGATATGGTGCACCGATGACTGATCCTTCATCAGATCTGGTGTTGAAATGCCCAACCAATAGCCCTTCTGACTCTTGTGACAGGGAAGGTTGTTGAAGGATGCATCATGAACTGCTACCACTGCAATGTTCTCCGGTTGCCAGGGCATTCCTGGTCTGAAAACAAGCTCCTCCTCTTTGTGAAACTGCTTGACTTCACGGATTAGTTTGGCAGCGTCCTTGAGGCTGGACATTTTCAAGTCCTTGATTTCGCTTGCCAACTTGCTGACCTGGAAGCCAATGGAGTAACCCATAATCCTAGCATACCACTGTAGCTGTCCAAGTAGTCATCGAAATGCTTTTGTTTCACTTGAGGTCAAGGTTGCAGTGTTATCCTTCCCTCTTTCACGGCTGACCTTGTATGTGCTCACGTTGTCAATGTACTCTTGCGCATGCACATGGATGGTGCCGTCTTCATCCTGGCAATAGGACCTGCCACAGAACTTCAAAGTTCCATCAGTTCTCCATGGCCCCCACTCAACTTCCTTCTGCATCTTCTCCTGCATAGACTGGCATTCCTTTGGGCATTCCTTTTACATCATCCACACGTAGTGCCAAAATGGCGATCACTTCCTTCGTAGCCTGATCTCGAAGCACGATGCCTGCAAGCTCGAAGGTGAAGCTCTCCCAACCAAGACGTAGTAAATGCCCTTGATGGAGTGATACCATTGCCTTGCTGCATCGTTCACTCCATAGATCGACTTCTTGAGCTTCAAAAGTGATCCGGGCTGTCCGCCTTGGATTTGTGCTTTGCCAAGATTCTTGGGAGGTTCAAAATACAGTTCTCGATCTATCTTCAGCCCTTGCAGGAATGCTCCACGTACATCTGCTGCGGTCAACTTCATGAGCCGTGATGCTGCAAAGCTACAGATGACCTGAACAAGTAGATTTGAGCATGTGGGTGAGTCTCTCCGCAATGACTCATCATACTCTTCTTGGAAACCTCTTCCAACCACCCTGAACTTGAGCACCCACTCCTCCTTCTCATTCTCATCTCTCTTATCATCTTTCTTGGTCCACACTCCTCTGGATGAGATTACCTTTTCGGGATTTGTCTTCCTGATCTCCTGGCTCTGCCCTGGTGGGATAATGCCTATTGCATCAAAGCGCTGCCAGGTTCCGATCTCTTTGTCCACTGCCTTCTGCATGGCACTCTCAATCTCCTTGTCTGAAAACTGTGGAAGCTGTGACTTCATTTTCTGTGGATTCAATTCTGTGTGTTTGTTGTGCTGTGTATAGGTGTCGGTTCTCTCAGCCAGAAATGCCACACACATGGTGTCCTTGTCTTCTGGCGTCAGGGCATTCTCAGGCTCGGTGTGACTGTCTTCTGCTCGATCTTCAAGCCTTCTTCGAGGAGCTCCACCGATTGATTCCGGTACATCATCCAGCCTCAATTCCCTTTTCCGTTTGTGTTCTTCTTCATGCGAGACACTTGACATCATACTTGGTGGTTCCCTACTGGGAGGAACAGGCTGTTCCTCAGTATTCTGTAGGTCTTGTGCTCCTTCTAGCTTCTCTTCTTTCTCGAGCTTTCTTCAATCTTCTTTGGTCGACGAAGCCCCTTCGTCTTGTCTTCCTCTTCAGCGGCTTCTGTCGTCTCATCTTCTCTTTTCCTCTTTTCCTCTTTTCCTCCTTCTCAAGTCTCCTCATTTCACGAACTTCTCTTGATTCATCACCACTTGATGTGCACTCATCTTGGTAGGTTGCTTCATGTCCATCTTCTTCTCTTAGAGGTGCTGTCTCGGCATCTTCTTCTGCTACTTCCGTAGGTTCATACTCACCCAGGTTCTCCTCAGCCTCACCCAACTCAATGGGATCCTGAGCTTTGGAGAGATCAAGGAAGCCTTGTTGTCCTCCTTTGGGTGAAAGTTGGTTGTCATCCTCCAGCAGAAGTTCATGCTCTTCCGCAATCGCCCTTTTCAAATTGTGAGGATGAGCTAGAATGGGTTTTCCCTTGTGGGTGATCCAATATCCTTATCTTTGATGATCTTTTCCAATCACCCTTGCTGGCCCGTGCCATTGTTTGTATGCTTTGCGCTTCAACCCTTTTCTCTTGTACATCACGAGCGAGTGCATGTCAAAGGGTCCTGGTTGTTGACGGGTCTGAGAAAGCAAGGCACGTCTCAATGAGGCGGAATGATTGGCCTTCACAAAGGCATGTTCACAATCTTCAAGAAGTTTCATCCGCTGGGCCATAGCAAACTGATCTTCATTGTCAGCGATTGGAATGCCTCGACCATCACCCATGATCTATGGGATGTTGGGTTGGTAGCCCAAGACACATTGAGCGGGTGAAAATCCACGATGATTGGAGAGTCGGTTGATGGCCTGCACACATTTCACCACTGCAACTCGAGTGAGAATGGGACCTCTGATTTCACTATCATGGGCCACTTTCTTCACCGTGAGGATCTTCCTTTCAACCACTCCGTGACTCCAATGTGCATCTCTTGCCACTAAGATCTCCTCTATTCCAAACCTATCCAGCAGCTCACGGAAGTCACCTCGAAGTGAACCGTCTTGATCAACCTGCACTTCATCAGGACTGCCAAAAACCTCCATCCAGTCCACCAAGGACTTACTGCACTGAGTTGAGTGCGGTTTCTTTGGTCGACCAGGAGCTTCACCTGAGCACAGGTAGGAACCAAAGGTGTAGGATGTTGCCATGTCGACCATCAACAGGAAGGAGTGCATCACATCTTCTTCTTGATCGGGAATGTGAGCAATATCCATGGCAACACACTGATTGAAGTGGTTGTACTTGGGAACTGCCGCCATAGGTCGCGCTGGACTTCTCTTCTCCTTTTCGCATGTAGGGCACGTGAACATGGATGCTGCCTTGATCGCACGGCCAGATGCTCCTGCAAGACGAAGGTGTCGGCTGAAGTTCTCCTTGTAGAGAGAATGGGAGTACTGGCGGCGCACCTTAGCAATGGCACTTCTCAGTGGTACTGGGACCTCTTCCCAGTTCTGTAGCTCCTCTTCTTCACGTTGTCGAAAGATCACATCTGAGCTACGTTGAAGTGCATTGTGGTATACATCTGCTTCTTCAAGATAATACTTCGTCTCCTCCAAGGCCACCGGTCTTTGAATTCCCTCCAAAATCATGACACCCAACTGAGGAGTCCATTGACCAAGTAGAGCAGAGATGTTCTGACCACCCTTCTGTCTGCGACCTTGAACCTGTGCATGGACATGATCATCTGAACACCGGAGGCTCAACATAGATGCAAGCACTGGTGATGATGTCACAAACCTTATTGGTTTCAGAACAACATCTCCATTGATGTCCTTCAGATCACACATGCATTGATCCATTCGAGCAGTATAATGAGGCGTATGCTCGATCTTCTCCAGCACGTGCTTCCATGCCTGGCTTGATAATGGATTCTCCAGCAAGTAGTGTCTTCCTTCTGATACCTGAAGTTCGCACACCTCCTTGATGAACTCCAAGTGTGAAAGGGCCACCTCTTGCTGCATCCTACGAGTCTCCTCATCCAGGAAGTTGCTCAGCGGTGTCCATGGGTCACAATTGAACCCCATGGTGACAAGACATGGTTTCTCCACTCTGAGCTCCTCAAGCACGGCTAACCGCGGCTAACCTATCCTCCTTCTTCAGGAAGTTGTCACCCAACAGAAGATCACGAGGTCTTGTCTTTTGCGATTGCTGTCACTACACCACCATCACTTCCACTGTAGAGCTCCTTCACAAGCACCCTTTTAACACGTGACCTCTTGCCCTTCCGCAGTTCTTTCCAAAGAGCTCGTCCATGTTCTTTGGACTCTTCTGCATCTTTTGGACCTTCTTTCTGAGTTTGCTTTTCATGATGCGAACTGCTTCCACATTGAAATCCCGTGCCTTCAACTGATGAAAGACTTCAACTGTTTCACCTGCCAGTCTTGTCTCCTTCTTCACTTGGCTACCGTGCCCACTGTCCAAAAGCAAATGACCTCCTGCACCATACGCCATAGCGACCTTGTCTGCGCCAATTGCTGTGAACGGGATAGTGGGCTTTGGCAAGGCAGTGAGGTCAATCACTGCTCCAAGTTCTCGAAGTTGTGGTAGTCCAAGGAGTAAGGGAACATCAGAGTTGGGAAGACGGTGCAAAGCCACTCTCCTTTTCGACCACCTTTCTTTCCATAGCCCTTCTTTCCTCCTTTTGAGCTTGAAGAGGATCCTGAACCCTTGGGGCATGACTTGTCTCCTCGCCAATGTCCCTTCTGACCACAGTCGTAACACTGTGTCCTCGACATGATCTGCTGGAGCTTGTCCTGCAACTGTCCTGCGTTCAGAGTCGACTTGCCATCCAAAGCAATTGCCGTGCGGCTGTGGCCAATGGCATTCGGTTGGAATCCACGGTTCACTTTGTCATCACGAACGGCCTGCCGCTTGCGAGCATACTCTGAAGCTCCTTTTCCCATCGTTTGGACTGTTGCTGCAAAGACATCTAGTTCTTCAGCTGAGAGATCTTCAACCGTCATCACTTCAACTGCATGCTCCATTTCCTCAACGTCGTACTGGATGTCCTCCTCCATCATGTCCTCCTCGATCTGCTCTTCACCATACCAGTCGTCAACGGCATAAATCTCTTCACCATCATGTTCATAACTTGACCATTCCTCCTCAATGGGATAGGCCCAGGCTGGTGTGCTGACGGGATTTGTATCCACCTTTCCAGCCCTTGCCACTGATCTCATCACCTCCATCCAGCTGAATGAGCATAGCTTCAACGATCTTGTCCCAATCATACTCATTCCCAGCCTGACCAAGGATAGCACGGTGTTGTGATGAGCTTACACCGGCATTGCGCAGCAAGAAGAATGCTTGGAGGTCAGTGGAAAGCTTCGTATGACCTTGAGTCAAACCTGTCAGCTTTTCATACTCGCTCTCACGGCGGCTGATGTATATAGTCCTGGGTGCTCTCGGATTGCCTTCGCCTGCCCTTGTCAAAGAAGTAGTCTTCAAATGTCTGTGTCTTCAACAAAGGTGCCACCTTTTCACAAGCTGCCCTCACGGTCTTCACGATCAGTTGAACTGCTGCTTTGGGACCAGCCTCGCTGAGTTGTAAGAGCTTTTGTGCAGCTATCTCTGGCTTCCGGTGGCATAGGGTCCATGCTCATCCATGGAGGGCGTTCTTCAACTTCGCTGCATAACTGATCTTCTCCTCCTCCTGGACTGTCTGGAAGCCAAGCCAAACACGCTCTTCATATTCCTCCGCCAGCTTTGGACTTGGGATCAACATACAATGACTGCACACTTTGACCCGACTGCATTGTCAACAGTACAACCAAATGTGAAACTGTGAGCGACACAAAACTGCACACTTGAATTTCCCAGGCAATTGCTTTGGGGCCAAGTTCACCACCAATAGTGTCCTCAACTGATCCTCAGCCTGCCAACCAACGAACAATGTCGAAGCGCTATACGGCAACAATCACAGTTCAACTCCAGCTCCCCTAGGGGTCAGCGCACAAACTCAAATGGCTCACCTACTGGAGCTCTTGTGGCTCCGCTATCAGTGCAAAGAACGAACGCCGGTAAGAACGACCTTTTCGCTCTTTTGGGCCAACGCTCAAGGCCTGCGGCCGAGTTTCGAACTCACGACCAACCTAGAGGAACCTGTACCGTCCCTCGTGGCCGCGCAAGCAAGGAACACACCTGACCATCTCATGAGGATGCATGCTTTTCCTGACAATATATATATACAGTACATACAGCCATAATATGGCACCTCGAAAACACGATCTTTGTGCAGGGACTCGGATCGGGAATTTAGGGGACCACAGCAAGGACTCATCTAGCATAGTGGCCAACGCTGCGACGCTTGATCACGTCGATTGAAACGGTCTGTAGCATGTCTAGACACAACTCAGCCAAAGCTGAGAGACCCGAGACCGAGCGTGGTTCGCGTGACAGGCTCAAAGGCGGAAGGAGGACGAATACAGGAAATTGTTCGGATCAGTCTTGGAGGGAGCCCTCTTCAGGTCAAAGAACAATGTGAACTGTGCAAGAGGCAAAATGGAAAGTAAAACACCAATCTATGAAGAGCCCAGTCAGTGAAGCATCCCAACAGTTCTTGTGAAATCGTCCCGACAGGGAAGTAGTAACATTAATCATCAGGATAATGTCTAGCAATGGAAGTGTGCAATTTCTCTTGCAAGCAATGGTCTATGGATGGCTTCCATGTAGATCACGTCATGTCCAGCTTCAAGGAGTATGTGTTGAATCAAATAATAAGGTCACAAACGGAAAGAAAAGGAAGGAACCAGGCAGGTCCATTCTTCTTGGAAATAAGGTGACCCCATGACACCAGGACGAATCAAAAGGTCTTGACCGTCTGTGAGAACACTGATGTGGGGTGGATGGTCTGTGTGCGAGGGATTATGATTTCAGATGCTCCCACCAGGTGGCATGTTGGTCGTCACCCGGAAACCAAAAAAATACACAACCTGTTTCCCGAGATCTGTGTACTCTTGACCACAATTAGGTCAATAACCACAATTCAGAATCAGCCAAGAAGGCAGGACCCGACATCTCCAACCACGCCCTCCCATTCTTTTCGTTCAAACAACTCACCCCCCAACTCGTTTCGCCGCCTCCGACCCCCCCGTCCCCGATCACCTTGGCACCGGCGGCACCCAGCACCTCCGCGAGGTCAACACCGCACTGGGCCAGGCGGACCACGCTGGCGCCTCGCCGCGGCCACCGCACCAACGTCACCAACATCACGCGGACGTCGAAGAACCAAGTGAGTCGGAGTTGTTCAAACCAAATTTGATGGTGGTTGTTCTCAAATGGTGCAGTTGGTCGATTTGGGTGAGGTCTCTTCAAGTAGTGACTATGTCATGTGACAGCTATCTCCAAAGGATGGACATGATCCTCTCGCTTTACGTGGAGATGGGAAGCGACCCTCTTGCGACCATGAGAAGCCCATCGCTTACGGAGTCATGAGAAGCCCATCGTAAAGCACCCATCGCTGCGACCCTCTTGCCTGTGTCGTCCTCAGCATGCACATTGGCTTTGGCATTGAGCAGCTGCTGGACGATGTTGGAATGTCCAAACTGCACCGCCAAGTGTAGAGGCGTTCGGCCTGAAACGAGCGCAGACAAAAGGACGCCGAAGTTCAGCGTCGACATCTAGCAGGACTTTTTTGTGCTTGTTACTAGTAGTAAGAATGCTCCTAGTAGCAATGCCAGGAGCCCCTAGTTGCGTCCTTGCTCCTAGTAGTAAGGCCAGGAGCCCCTAGCAGCTTCTTGCAACTGTCAGATGGATCAAAGGCCGAGTGCAAACATCAAAGTGACATGGGATCAACAAACACATACGAGCACCGCCATTCATCTCCCAAAAGCAAAGTGGTTCAATCTCATCAAAGTTGATTCAACTATTTGCAGCCTCGAACTGGTGGTTGATTGATTGGGTGGGGTTGGTTCGATTGGTTTGTCCTTTGGTCTGCTGGTTGAATGGAAACATGCCACTCGGCATGATGGAAGGCGAGGGGATGAACATGCCTCAAAACGGCCAGAGGTCTGGCCCACCAATCTCAAGAAACCCAACACAAAATTGATCACCTAACGCCTTCAAGGATCGGGAGGATCTGGGGTCTCAGTTTTGAAAAGGGGCGCCTTCCAAAAGGGCCCACCCTATCGACAGGAAAACCAACCACTGACAAGGCGTGGGCTCCCTGTCTCTGTCCCGACCACCCGATCGTCCGATCATCCGACCCGCGTCGTCTCGTCCGGCCTCGGTGGTCCTGGGCCTCCAAATCGGCCTTTGCCTCCAGCAGCAGCTGCGCCATCTCTGGGTGCTCGAACTGCGCGGCCAAGTGCAGAGCCGTTCGGCCTCTGACATCGCTGTCTGCGCAGTTGAAAGGGTCATCCCAAAAGAACATGAAGTAACTAGCAGTTCATAAAGCACCCGTGGTCCAGGGTAAACATCAAATGCTTATCACCTAAGTTTCTGAGGATCTTATGCTTCGATGCCGAAATCAACACTTTGGCTACCAAGGCTGTGAACTCCTGACAAGCACTACCTGCAAAACCTGACTTGAAAAAAACAACGCTTACCTCTATATCGCCATGCAATGCGGTGTTCAGCAACCGCTCCCACCTCTTCCCGCTCCAAACCCCGCCCACCACTCGGGGCCCCGAGCGGAAGTGGTTCTGAGCATCAACCGAAGCGCCCGCTGCCCGCAGCACCTGGAAGACCTCCACGGTGGACGCTGAAGCGCCCGCTGCACCTCCGTCAGACCGGCCGGTCGACCTCCGCGCGTGCAAGTGCAGGGCGGTTTCACCTCGTGGCGTGGGCGGGGTGGCGGACGGAGTGGGAAGGACGGAGGTCTGCGACGCAGAGCAGAACAGGTCTGCGACTTGGCAGCATCTCATGGAAATCTTGGACTCATCCATTGCGTGAAGTGACAAGCGATCAGTGACAAAAGTTGTGCCCACCTCACTTTACACCGCAGTCCCACATGAAATGAGAACCAGACGCGGAGAAAGTCTGCCCACACTTCTCGGAAAACTTCGTGAATATATGTCCCCTCTCTGCAACCGAGTCAACGACTCACTCAAGCTCTGAAAGACCTTAAAAAAGGACCCCTCGACACAGACTTTCCTCCACGGGCTTGGTCTTGAATTACACCGGCATAGACCCCAGATAGCGGTGTATAAGTTTGTCACCCCGGGCACGACATGATGTCATCCCTGGCTGACATGATGTCATTTTGGGCATGACATGATGTCATCCTTGCATGGCATGATGTAATCCCTGGCATGACATGATGTCGCCCCTGGCATGACATGATGTCATCCCTCGCAAGACATGATGTCATCCCTGGACTAGCACCAGCACCAGCACGGCAGCAGCACCCGCAAAACGAAACGCCGATCCAGAGCCAGCGCCTGCACCAGCACGGCACCAGCACCGGCAAAATGAAAGCACCACCAGCACCAGCACAGCAACAGCACCAGCAAAACGAAACGCCAATCCAGAGCCAGCACCTGCACCTGCACCAGCACTGGCAAAACAAAACGCCGACCCAGAACCAGCACCAGCACGGCAGCAGCACCCGCAAAACCAAAACACCGATCCAGAGCCACACCATTGAGAAGTTAGAACCCCTATAGCCTGCAGCTATCCGGGGAAAAATATATGTCCCCCCTGTCTGCATTTCGTGTTGTGTATTCCAAACTCCTCTCGGCCTGTTGAACATGTGGCACCAAATCAGCCATCTTATGCTCCTGCCATGCCAAAAGCCTGCCTCGCAAGCATTGCAGCCATTAAAATCTTTGCTTGCTGCTTCTTTCCCACTATATACATTACTTCTTCTCAGCGCCTAGATCGAACATCATGCCACTTGCCACTGAACTGTTGACCCAAAACCTACCCTCAAATTCCTCAACCCTTTTGGACCCAACGCTTCCAACCCCCTCCTCTCCCAAAGTGTCGCTCCAGGGCGCCAAAGTGATCCTTCGTCTCCACCGCAGCGTCCGAGAACACCAACAGCTTGGTCACAGCCACTTGGCCCTTCTCCACCGCCACATGGAGCGCTGTCTTCCCTGGAGCGGACCGGGTCGATCGATCCGGTTTGGACGAGGTCCAGTGGAACGGGAAGGGGAGGTTAGCCAGGAGAGGCCCCCAAACTGGTGAAACCCCACTTTGCCAACTCTAGCAGTTCAGCTAAGATCTGCTGCCCCCACGCTACAGAAATGATGGAATCTGCAAAGGCAGTGGCTAGCGGCTAGATGAAGTTCCCTTCGCGTAAGTTTGCTTCAGGTCACCTTTTCCCTGACCAAAAACACCGGGGACAAATACAACGAAAAAAGAACCGACTCGGCATCTCCAGAGACTTGGTTTGGGATGGCTCCTTCGGCTTGAGTGGCAGACGGACTTCTTAAGACTTTTCGACAAAAGCTATAGCTCAGAGTGTAGAGGGAAGGGAAGGTGATTCTCCTTTGGGAAACCAGCAAGTAAACTGCTCTTTCAGAGGTCCTCTGAAACACGTCTCTTGGAATTGGACAAAAAATTGCCTACACAAGAAACCTCCCCTGGACCCGGTCGACGGTCTGTTCCAGCCTTCGTGATCTGTCACGCCGATGCTATCAGGCACTACCCGCAGGAAGTGGCGCACCGCATTGACGGCACCCTTTTCTGCAGCGTCCAAGATGTCGCGGCCTGGAGAAAGCAAGTGTGACTCCAGCAAGCAGAGTGATCTCTTTGCGTGACTCCATCTAGCAGCTCTAGCAAGTCGCAAAGCAACGAACAAAGAAATCCAAGTGCTGATTTGCTTGTTGGTTACAAGTGGTCTGACCCTCTTCAGTGACTTCCAAAACGGATCTGGGAACTCCACATGCTTTCGCCGAAGCTTCGTCGGCCTGAGGGCTGCAGGAGGTAATGGTTCTCCAAACGGAGAAGACCCTGAGCTGTGAATAGAACTTGCAACGGTTCAGTCAAGAATAGGACACCATCCAAAGTAGTGGCAAATACAATCTAGACGGAAGTGCGACGTGGTTCGTTCCCATTTCACAAACCACGTCTCTACCTCATCCCAGAGCAGGTCACTGCAGAAATCCTCTTCTTCAAGAGAACCAAGGAGAGAATACGAGCTTGCATGCCTCCTCAAGGTCTGGTTGGAAGTCCTCTCACATCCAGATAGACAGATGGTAAGTTCTCATGAAATGAGCAAGAAATAGACACAGGTCCAGTGGTTCAGCTGTAATGCGTCTCAAGGACGATGCTGCGCTTGGCTCAACAGCCACTGGGCCATGCCACATTTTGGACCAAGTGGTCACCAGAAAGGTCACCATCTGGTCACCACCTTCCTTTCACCCGAAAACCTCAATCTTCAAATGAAACCAGAAGGTGAACACACAGAAGGTGGGGACCAGAAGGTCTATGTGGACACCGGTGAACGGTTGAGAGAGACGAGAAAACACGACCCAGAGACGACCCGGTGATCCCTGATTCTTCTTTGCAAAAGGAAAACCTTTCACAAAAAGGTGGACACAGTGGACACCGGACACCTCAGAAAAGCTGAAAGATGCCTGATGCCCGCGCCTTCTGTCGTTTGATTTTCGGAGACTCACCCACACCCTCACATGCAATGCCCTTCTTATTCTCATGGTTCCTGCCAACCCTGTCCAGCCTCCTTCATAGTTCCTCGCAAGACAGTGAAGGAATCAGGACAATTATTGTCATTGAATCTTTGGGAAATTTGAGAAGCCAGAAGAGCTAAAACTAGGCAGTTTCAGGTGCTAGGTCACGGGAATGAAGGGAAGTTCCATGATGGGAGACCTACCCAAAGAAGCAGCCTCAAGCAAGCTTGCATTACCAGTTGGCCCTTGGCCCATGTAGCTAAACCAGTTTGTCGCCGTGAACACGGCAGTAGAAAAAGTAAATCCTTTTACCCCGTGGGCCACTAGCGAACAAAGAGTGCTATGTCTTCACATCCAATTCAACCAGCACGCCACTGTGGTAAGCACCTTGGGATTCATGTCATCAAGTTTTCCACCTGTTCAATCGTTTGTTCAGGTCCTTATGTTGTCTATCTGTTCATTGGACCCAACAAGGCTCAACTCTGAAACAATGGACCATGATGTGCTTGTGTGTATCTCAAAAAGAAAACACGTTCGCTATTCCAAGGGGTTTCTCCCCAGACTCCACGCCTGCACTTCCTTCGTTTGGGTTTCACGGCAAGCCTTGTAAGGCCATCAACGACAGTGGAAGAGGCCGTTCATGAAAACGGCAGGGTCGCAGAGGCACCAGGGAACGCAGAAGCGTTTTCCAAGGGTGGTGGATGGATGGAAAATTCCACAGTATCCCGCAAAGTCGATCTTTGTCGGGGGGCCTCCACAAACCCAATCAAATTGTCTGATGACCATGGATCCAAGGATTGTCTCTGGAGCTCGAGGCACAATTGCCGCCGATGGGGGCGTGGCGGCATGGCTCAACCATGCGCAATTGCAAAACCCTCGGCTGGAATGGAAGCGAACATTTAGGTCCACGGTTTAGGAAGAAACATTTGTCCATGTATAAATGCAATTGCACACCCGTGATGCCGTCGGGCTAGCGCGCGCAACCTGTAAGTGCTTGCGGAACTGGGTTAAAATTTGGATTTTTTGCAGGAACCTGGCCGTTTAAGATGCGTATGGGCAAGCTGTGTACCCGCCTCTATTCCGAGGAACGTTGGAGTCAGGTGCAAAGGCTACCGCGTCAGCGGAAATGGTTGCAAGCACAAGGAATCTCTTAGCCTGATTACATCTATTTTCAATTGGCATACAACATCTGCAACCGCATTGAAAAATTGAAACAAAGCGTGCTGTTCTTTTTCACAGCAGTTTGGGCCTGTGTGCATGGCGTATGCCTATTGTGTGTCATGCCTTGCAAAGAGTGGTATGTTGCACTGTCTGCAAGGACTACGAGGGTGTAATGTCTGAAGAGGCTCTGCAGCCTCCCCCCACAGGAGGGAGGGAAGCGAGGCGGAGCAACCTTGCAGGGATGCGCTCCGAAACAGCTTAGCAAAGGTAGCACATCGTAGCAAGGTAGTGATCAATCACGGAGCCCCTGTGTTCATTTAGCCAGGTAGTCACGAGTGACTATCGTTGGGTGAGGCATGCAGTGCCCCGAAACTGCAGTGAAACAAAGGTGAAACTACGCCGGAAAACCCTGTACACTATCTACATGGCCAGCAGGGCGTGTGCCCACCACCAGGACAAGGACTGAGGTCCTCGCCTGGTATCTGGCCAGATTGGTGCACAGCTCTATGGCTCACTAGTACTTTGCGCCTGCTTTTGGTCGGACAAGCCGTGACAGACTGTACTAGATGCGGTGGGTGTGCATCTGGACTATGTCTATGATTTATCTGCTCGAGATTTTTAGAGTTCTTGGCTCTGGAAAACTATTGGTGACAACGCTGCTCTAACGCGACAAACGATAGGGCAAATTCATTGCCAGCAGCGCAGCCTTTAGGTGTTGTTCAGGGTGTTTGACTGCCTATCATATCAAGTGGCCAGTCGCTAAAGGCACATTGAGAGGGCAGAAGCATCTGTAGGTCCCTGCCGCATCTCCAGCGTCGAAGTGTTGCACCCCCAAAACAGCTTGGCCTAAGGGGGTTGCACGCACCGTCGAAGTAGCGAGCATCAATTGCCAAGAAGCGAACGTCATATCCCGGCAGCGTGGCAAAATGCACCAGCAATCAATCAGGAAGTCACGCAGTGCCCATGTGAAACAGATGTGAAACAGACCTAAGATGGTACTTGCAGTACACTTTGTACCTGGCTGGCAGGGCAGTCGCCCACCCCAAGGACAGGACAGAGGTCCCCGCCTAGGATCCAGCTAATTGGGCATGCAACGCAATTGTATGCCGCCTCACTCTGTTTGTGCACAGGGTTTTCTTTGTTTTTGCAATCGGCTTACATGTAGTGAGACGGAGGGGCTCAGTAATGATCTGTGAAGAGCGAAGTCAAGGACACCATGCTATAAATCGCACCGTTATCAGAGATAGGCACGTCCGCAGGCCCGGGTTGAATCTCCCTGGGTCTTATATGCGAAAGTCTAATCAGAATCAGCACCAGATAATAGCCGCAAACACCGAGACATATCCAATTCAACAAAGCAGTGGGGTGCCGCACCCAAACGTATAGCGACCTGTAGGCCCTTGCCCCTACAATTGTGAGGCTTACAGGAGAATAGGCTGTAGACCTCCGATCGGGAACAAAACCAACAGGCGCCAATGGACAGGCAACGTGAAAATGACAAATTAGTATGCTTAAGTTGCACAGACCGAGCCGAAACAAAGGTGGGAAACGAAATTCAAAATTGTCTCTGGCTGTTTGTCAATGCAAAGACGAAATAAAAAGCAAGACTTCGCCTAAACCGGTTGACTCTAGCAATGATTGGCTATTCTAGTTAGTGGTGCTTGCAATGATTGTCTAGCACAACAAAATGGCCACATCAAAACGTATAGCGCCCGGTAGGCCCTTGTCTACCTACTATTGTGAGGCTTACAGGAGAGAAGGCTGTAGACCTCGAATCGGTGACAGCCTGACCGGCGCCATTCGACTGGCAAGCTGAAGTTTGAGCACGTGCATATTCCTAAGCAGCAAAGTCGAAACATTATTGAGTGATACGAAACATAACTTATTTTATTCCACTCTCTGCTAAGGTTGGTCCTACGCCGACCTGCTGCGCAATTAAACTTACAAGGCAAATAGGCACCGCAAAAGGGTTACTCTTGCATTTAGTAGAGACTTGCAAAAACAACCTACTTTTGTCAAAAGGGCAGCAATCGTTGCAGTGTCATCGCACTCCCTCCCTAGTGCGAAGTGAGGTAGTATCCGTAGCTGGCAGCAGCAGTTTTTGAGAAGTGAGTGGAAGTGGAGTGAGTGTGAAGCGAATAAGTGTAAAATGATGGGCAAAAAACAATTGCTGCGATGAAAGCACCTCCCCTAAGTGCATAGCTAGCAACATCAGCTACGAATCGGAGTCCCAATTCCTATGTTTGCAGTTAACGAGCGCAACGCACGCGCTGACAGGAAATCATCCCCCCCTAGTGCGAGATGAAGGTCAGCTATCAGGCTGCTTCTCATAAGGAATGCATTGAGACTGAGACTCTTTAACGCAAACCGTGCTGCGCGCTTCTGTGAAAAGCGAAGTCGAGGGCACCACGCTATAAATCGCACCATTATCAGAGATAGGCACGTGCGCAGGCCAGGGTTGAATCTCCCTGGGTCTTATATGCGAAATCTAATCAGCACTAGACAATAGCCGCAAACGCCGAGACATAGCCAATTCAACAAGGCAGTGGGGCGCCGCGCCCAAACGTATAGCGACCCGCAGGCCCTTGCCCCTACAGTTGTGAGGCTTACAGGAGAATAGGCTGTAGACCTCCGATCGGGAACAAAACCAACAGGCGCTAAAGGACAGGCAACGTGAAAATGACAAATGAGTATGATTAAGTTGCACAGACCGAGCCGAAAGGAGAGCAGCAAGTTCAAGTCAAACCAACAAAACCCAAAAAACAAAGCACTTCGCAGGCTTCATGTGAGATCCAGTAACAGCGGTCAAACTGACATGTCCTTCACTCACAATAAGCCAAAGAGAAGAGAAGCACAACATAGCCAACGAAAACTGCGAACCAAGGCAAAGAAGGAACCAAATTAAGAAACAGGACAACGAGTCGCATACGCGAGGTTGACTTCTCTACCCCCCTAAAGTGATGGTTTCTTTTTGGAGAAACAGAGATACGGGCAGTGCACAAGTGAGACGAAGGCATCTCATGCAAATAGCATTTGCTAGGTTGCAATCTGCTCTCTTCTTTTCCTGTTTTTTCGGTCCTAGGGTTGTCCGGTCCCTGGCTGTTTGTCAATGCACAGACGAATAAAAGGCACTGAGGCTATCGAAAGTACAAACCGGCGATGCAGAGTTCACCTAAACCGGCTGACTCCACTAGCAAAATAGACTAACCAAACCGACGAGCGAAGAGACAAAACAGTCTGAAGAGCCGAAACGAAAAAGGACGAAGCAAGCCAATCAAACTTGGATCGAAGGGCTGCGGGCGGCAAACGCAAAAGGACAACGGAGGAGCAAACGCGCTTTCATTTCTTTTGGAACACCACCCAAACGGTATTGAAACAAAAGACATCAAGCAAGCATGTCTTAGGTCGCATTGGGCTGACTGGCAACTCTGACAAGGCAAGCTCTGGGGCCACTCAGGTCGGACAAGCTGCCAGACATCATGGGACCTGTTCGAAACTGTGAAACAGAGGTCACAATGATTCCTGCCCGACCAACTGTGGCGACGCAGATGGTACGGAACAAAACGGCGTCAACGATTCAGGTGCAGGATGCTTATCTTGCAAGGTCTGCTCACCATGTGTTTTTGAGACTTCGTTCAAACATTGTCCAAAGCTTTCTTCGACACCACCCACGGTTTTCGAACAAAAAGCATCAAACAAGCATGACTTGGGTCTCGCAGGGTTGACTGGCAACTCTGACAAGGCCAGCTCTGAGGCCTCAGGTAGAAGGGCGGCTCAGACATCATGGGACCTGTTTGAAACCATGAGACAGTGACAGGCGACAACCTTCCTGCCTGACCTACTGCGACGACGCAGATGGTACGGAAGGCAAAAGACTTGTGGCGGGCATGGTTTCAGACGATCTATCTTCGGAAGGACCTTCACCTGACTGGCCTACTCCTTCTCTAGCTCACTACACTCTCAATCAGAAGTCTCTCCATCTAAAAACTCCCATGACTGGCAAGAGCGTGACTGCACTCCAAGCTCGGCGCGAAAAGTCTCAATGGAGAACGGCTCAAGTACCACCAACGGTGCATCAAGAGAAGGCACTCCTCCTTCCCTCTTCGGCTTTACAACCTCTCTAATACGCGGCTTTCCATGGATGACTTCACAACTATGTTCTCTAAAGCGGCTTTCCATGGATGACTTCACAACTCTGTTCTCTAAAGCGCGGCTTTCCATGGATGACTTCACAACTCTGTTCTCTAACAGTCGGCTTTGCAAAGACTCAGATTCACCGCTCGGACTCTAAGGTGCAAAGACTTGTACTCACCACACCCACACGGCTCTCTGAGGGGCAAAGACCCGGATCTCCAAGATATGTGAGCAAACAGTCGAAACTAAGTCAACCAAGGTGGCTGCAGTGAAGCACTCGTGAACAAGCAAGTAAGACACCTGAACGTTGACTTCGTTCGTAAGGTGTAGCGACTGTTCTTGGACACATCCCTGTTTGTCAAAGAGCGCATCAGGAGCCTCTGAGTTCCTTCCAATGCAGCAAAGATCTTGCATTTTTACTCTCTGATTGCCCACAGGTTGTTGATTGCAGGGCTTGCATGAAATTGGCTTGGAAAATGCTTGCAAAGAAAATCTTGGCGTCTCCAAGCTCAGGGAAATTAGTAAATGGTCAAAAACTTCCTGCTCCTGTTTTGGATGGCTTCACTCTTACAAAAAACCCACAGGTTGTTGATTGCA